TATTTTGGGTGAAGCACAAATGGGCTCTGACCAGGAGATCTTAAACAAAAGAAGGCTATGAATGACAGATCAAGAGACTTTGTTTGTAGAGGCAGCTCTGAACAGAACAATAACCATGATTCACAAAACTGTCACTCAGCTATTCTGGTTTGCTTTCTAGGCACTGCCTCATCCTGCTGTTTAAAAAGACTGCAAGGACTATAAGGATGACTTGGATTCTTACTACAGGAAAATACGTAAAACCTGCTATACCATGTTTCTGTTACCAGTTCCTGATGGATAGGCATGGGGTCTTTAAGTGATGATTTGACATTATAGCAGTGCAGAAGACTAAGATTTAAGGTATCTCTGCTGATAAATACCAATGACTAAATCACCCACTGTTCAGTGAAGTGAGACTAATATACGTCTTTAAATATGCCCTTACATTTTCTTGATTTCTTCAGATTTTTCAATTAAGAATCTTGATTTGGACTCCTTGAAAGTTCAGCACCCAAGACAATTTGTTATCTGAGCTGGGAAAAAAGTGCATGGGAACCCACTGTTTTGAACACACTGCTCTTCTGAACCCACTAACTGCCTTCTTACTGCTGATTCTGCAAGGTTTAATGTCTACTTGCTGCATTTCCACGTGGAAGCAGAATTTGAACTCCTTTGGGTTGTATATCTTACTCATAGATTCATTAGGGCAATGATTCAAGAGTCCCATTCTCCGTGATCCAATTAACTTCCAATGTTTGGTGTCTGTTCAGCTGTGCACAAAGAGCTGTTCTCTGAACTGTTTTTCTGATTAAAGATTAACAATGCGATAAAAGAAGGAAACATGGGCATCCTTGGAGTTTGTTTCTTACATCAGCTGGGTTAAACCTTTACTATCGTTTCTCACTGTGTATTTTCTCTTTGTGTTTGGCAATCAAATTCTGCACAACTCTAGCACGTTTCCCCTGGTTTAGTCAAAACAAGAGGAAAACTTTCTGCCTTTTTAAGCTTTTGACTCTTCGACCCTTGCACAAACAGCAACAGAAACCTTTAATAACTGACTAAGAGGAGCTGTCTTTAAAACTTTCTTTGCTATCTCTTAGATTAAAGAGTATTCTGTAAAAACAGTGGAAATCACTGAGGTGTACTTAACTGTATAACCACACTAATTTCTTTTGAAATGGAAGAAGTAATGTCCTTCCCAATAAACATCCTTCTTCCAAACAGACCCAGGCACGCAGCTCTGCTGTTTGCCACAAGCAGCAAATGGTGCATTACTGGATGGCATGATTGTTTCTAAATATATCATAATGTTAGATGAAACAGTTAATAGACAAATTACAATTATGGTTAATAATTTTTAGACCACTTCCCTGGCTTGTGTCTGAACAATTAATCATCCTTGGTACTTTCAGCTCCAGTAAGCTTATGTTAAATACTTTCCCTTTTATATATCCCACATCTGTAAACTATTTTGTCTTGTTTTTTTGTCTTGCTATATAATTATAATAATTTACAGTCTGGAGCAGGATTTTAAGCACATAGACAACACTTGAAAGCATTAAGTCTTTTAACTTAACAGAAGTTGGTTTGGTTCTGCTACAAGAATCACTGCTGTTTAAAGAGATGATTTGTCTTCTCAAAGTCAAGGTGAGCATCAGAGGGAGAGCAAAGCCCGGCCTTCCCCATGCCTTGGGCACAGCCCATATTTAGCTGATTGTTCATGAAGAGTCCCAGCACTGTGCCCCAGAGAGCTCTGTGCCCTCCTCACCCTCCTCTTTGCACTAAGTGGTAATTTATAGCCTGCCTAGACACCAGCCAATCAATACCCTCCATGATGATTTCCATCTGTCTTTGCTTTGCTATGCTCCCATCTTCCCTTTGCTTTGGGCAATAAGGAAACCAGTAGACTGCATGTTCTGATGTTCTGAGGTCTGAGTAACTTTTATAGGATTGTAGAGATGGGGAGCAGAGAATTGTGTTTTTTGGGGCAAACAAGAAATCCAAGTCAGATCTGAATCCTAAATGATGTCTTCTGGAATAAGCTGTAGCTCCCATCTCAGAATCAGAGGTATGGGAGGCAAAACAAAAACCAATCAAATAAACAAACAGAACAAAACAAAAAAAAAAAAGGAGAAAAAAATCTAAAATATTTTAATACTATCCCTCTTTTCAAGTGATCAGATTGTATATTTTCTCCTGAGAATCTCCCAGGCCAGCACTGAAGCACTGAGTTAATTCTGAATCTGCAACTTTCAGCTGCTTAGAATAGCAGCTTTCTTTTTTTAATCTCACTCATTAGTTGAAATGCTGTGTTGTTTTTTTTTAATTAGGATATTTGGTGGTCTCTGAAGAAATGCTTCATCTCTGTGAAAGTGGGACACTGAAGGCACAAGTTGACAACACCACCAGAAAATATTTCAACCATTTCGTGACTACAGCTTCGAGAACTGAACAGTGTTTAAAGGAGCCAGATGAATTAGAAGACGATAAAAGTAAACTCGCTTTCCCTGAAACAGGTGAGGGTGTGAAAGAGGTTATCTCCTGCTGTCATTATTAAGAGGGGCAATATCTCACTGCAAAACAGGTGATGAAGGTAGCGATTGTCCCTGGTGCAAGAGCAAAGCAAAGGCGTGTGTGTTTGCAGAGCGGTGTTAAGGCACAGCCACCACTCTGACAGGTGCGGTGCGAACGCGACATAGACTTGGAAACAAAAGTGAGACATTGGAGGAAAGTGAAAATGGAAAACTTTCCAGATGCCAGGTGGAAAATGATATTAAAGCTGTCAAAATAAGTCACAACAAAGACTGGGTTTTCTCATAGACTAACAGGAGTCATGTTCTGCAGAAGAATGGAGTTCTCAACCACAAGACAGAGTATCAGAAATGAAACAATTACGAGCATTGGAGGTTAAACTGGGGCCTATTTGTTTCAGGGTTTTTTTTTGCTTTGGTCTCCCTCTTTTTTTTTCCTTTTTATTTTTTTCCTTTTCTCTTCCAAATGCACTACGGCAGTCTTGATTTACTCTGCATTTTGTGGACAGGTCAAGAATGTGTAAATAAATCACATCGTCATTTCTTATCGTAGTTATCTATTCTGGGCCTAATTCCAAACCCAGTTAAATTGATGGCAATCCTTCCATTGGCATCAGAGCAAGGTAATTTAGAACCTGTGATGGAGGTGCAAAGCATCACAGTAGAGGCTTGTTAAACAGCCTCTGCAGTCATCCAAAGTGATTTTCTAAAATACAGTAAGGAAAGGGAACTTAGAACTACCTTCGAGGTCAAATATGCTTTATGTACATGCTAATGGAGCATTTAAGAAAGCTCCACCTAACAAGCATTAAATGTCCTAAGGGGTTATTCAGATTTAAGACTGACAATTTGAACAGATAACCCAATATTTTACTCTTTTCAAAAATCAGCTACACTGTTTATACTTGGGTAGAAAACCACAGATCAGAACAAAGTTCGCTGTGTTTCCTTAGTGCAGTCAAGGGTAGAATTTACTCTGCCGATTGAGGATTTCAGTTGTCCATGTATTCATTTTCATGCACTGGTAGATTCTTATCAGCAATTTATCTGCAATTTTGTGGCTGAATTTTGTTCCTTTATGCAACATTACTTTAGCACAAGAAAATGTGCCTACATTAAATTCCTTATATTCCTTATAACTACTCCTAACAAACAATAATTCATACTGAATGTTTACCCCCCAAAGTATAATTATGACTTTAAAAATAAAATGCCTCTCTGTTCTTTTCATGATAGATTTTTCAGGCAGACTGTTGATGTGTTAGAAAGAACCAGACTCCCAGAGGAGTGGCTAGAAGCTTGATTGCAGCTAGAGATAGACAGTGCAGCAGCAGTGGTAACTGGAGACTGTACACACAACAGGCCATAATGGACATTATGGAGCTGTTAACCTCTAGTGTGTCAAAACCTAATCAGAAACTGGTTGAATTTGCAGCTTGCTGATCCAAGTGATTCCTTCAAATTAAAAAAAAAAAAAATGAACTGAAGGGCTATTCTGTGTTTGAGTCATAAACCCCTGAAAATATCAGTTAATAATGGAAATAATGACAGACCTTTAGTGTAGCTGCACGGATGGTGCTGGTATTAATAATGCAGAAGTGCAAGGCAGGACAGCTCTTGGAAGCTGATGATTGTGGAAGTGCAGAAAACCTCATTAAAATGACCTAAAGAAGGGTGTATTATTATAACAACTTTTTTCCTACAGTACCCTTCAGCTATAATAATTGCACAATATATGTAGCAACTTGAAAAGATTCAGAAATGTGTAAGAAGTAAAGTCTCTGGCCACAGTTACTGGCAGCATAATTATGAGAATATATTATTTACTCTGCATCGTGTTCTTTAGTTTTGAGAGCCCAGAGATTTGTGGATGATGAATAATGTGGTGTCTAACTAAAATATCAGCCCTACATTGCTGGAACACATATTCAACCTCAAATAATTGCTTCGGAATTTTGTTGATTACAAGTAGCAGAATAGTTATGACTAACTTGCGGATGTTAAATGTAAAAATTTTGATATTATTTTTGCATTTAAGATTCTGCAGTGGATAGGAGTAGTTGTCGTCAAATATTTATGGGATTTTCAATTGCTCTCTCTGAGGATAAGGTCCAATGATCTAAAATCATGCTTTTTCAAGATGTGAAGAGTTTAATTTTTCATTCTTACAACTAATTACAGTGGGCCCACTAAAGTACTTTTCACAGCTACATCCTTTGGTGGGAATCAGACTCACCAGCTTTTCCAATGGTGCTATATAGCCCTGCTATCCCACGTACCCACCACACAGAAACAGCAATAATGACCCTGACAAATTCCATGGAAAAAGGAATGTGTGGTTCCTGGGTACCTAGTGGTGTTAACTGTGCTCAGAAACACAAAATATAATGGCTTTGGGCATGACCCCGCCTCATCTGAGGGTACAGCTTGAAAGGCCAGTGGGGTGTGTTGCTTTTGTTCTATGGATATTTCACAAATGCCAGTTTTACTGTGTTACTTCCACAGGCAAGAAATGCCATCAGTGGGTTTGGGGCTTTGACTAGTGTTCAGTAATTCAGTTTAACAGGATCTGGACCACACTGGGCTGCAGTCCCTTTGTAATGTACTACAATGTGTGCACCTGCAACACACTGAGCTAATATTTAGAGATAAAGCTCCAAATCTGTCCTTTGCACTATAATAGAATATTCATAGTAAGTGGGCCTTATAAAACACTTGATGGTTGGAAATCACTAGTCTTGAAGGGTATGCAAGATTCAACGTTAAGTCTCTCAAATCGCACAAGTTTACCTCAAAGACATTTTTGGAGAACTCTTTTGAACTTGCTCTCATTGAATACCCAATCCTGGCCTAAAGTACAGTGTAATGATGCTTATATATCGCTCCACTGGCTCTGCAAGCCCACTTGAGCCAGTTTTGTACAACACTTCAGCTCCCGGGTGGGAGCTGCCGCCACAGCAGCGTCAGGCAGCCCTTCAGCACCACTCAGCTCCACGGCACCCGGCTGAAGGGTTTCCGTCAGGGAAACATGGGAAGTACTCCAGAGATTTTGCAAGTGGGGAAACCAGCTGAGCTCAGCCCCGTGGTCTCCAGCCAAGTGGGAGCAGGAGGTTAAGGGCCTGCAATTAAGACGGAGAGATGTTCATTTAGAGCTTGAGGGTGGCAAAATGGCAGCTGCTCCTATAGGCCCTGCTGTGCTCTCACTATGAGGGGACGGGCTCTTTGCTGACCCCTGGGCACCCCATGCACAGACGGGCAAAGCTCTGCCTGTTCACCCACTTTAGGGCTTTGTGCCTCGTGGGGAATTAGAGGTGAGAACCAGCTGTCTCACACGGGTGGGCTTCCCCCTGCAGCGGAGGGAGCGGCGCAGGGAGGGCAGGGCCGCCATGCCGAGGTGCTCAACGGGCCGCTGAGCCCCTTCTCCGCTGTGGAGGTGGAGGTGGAGGTGGAGGGCGGAGGGTGGGAGGGGGGACCGCCCGCGGCGGGCCGTGAGGTGCCTTATGGCAGGGGAGCTCCTCTCCTCCGGACGAGGAACGGCGGAGGCTGAGGGATGAGAGCCGGCCGGGGGCTGCGAGAGGCGGGGAGCGGGGCGGGCAGTGTGCGGGGCCTGCTGTGCGAGGCAGGGCGGGGGCTTGTCCCGAACGCCCGCGGTTTGCCCTCGTGTTTAACGTTGCCTTTCGAACAGGTTCGCTCAGCACCGTGCGAGGCCTTAGGGCTGCGGGGAAACCACGGACGGCAGCACAGAAGAGCGTGGTGGGGCCGGGCAGAGCCGAGCGAAGGAGCGCAGCGGTGGCAGTGACCCGAGTGCGGGCGGGGGCTCCTGTCCCCCAGAGCGGTGCCTGTCTCCTCAGGAGGGTGAAAAACACGGGCCCTGCTCACGGAGTGTGTGAGGGCAGAGGAGGAGGAGGAGGAGGGAGCCCGGCAGGCCCCTGCCCATGGCAGCGCTGGCCGGGGCAGTGGTGCTGCCGGGGCAGGGGCAGGGACAGGCCGTGGTGCACAGCGTGTCCCAGGGCATGACTCTCACCCTGCAGGAAGGGATCTGCGTGTTCTATGACCTAGAGCTGGCACAGGTTCATGTTCTGCAAGAAGAAGGGCAAGAAAAGAGTTCAGAAAGCAAGGCAACTGAGAAACCAGTAGACATGCTCCGGATGGAGGTACAAGTGAAGATATGTTACCTATTAGCTCCTACTATCACACCGATCCGGTTCTAAGTATCCAGTCCTTTGTACAGCTTTTTATAATCTCATCCCATTTTTTAAAAGACAAACTAAAACTTTAGACTAGGTAACTAACTTGTTGAAATTCAGACAAGTTTTTAATTCAGTGCACCAGTTTAGTACTATTTGGTTTGACAGCCTCGATCTCTTAAGTAGCATTACACAGTTTCCCTTCTCTATAATTCAGTTAGTTCAATACTGCAGTGTCGTTGTTAAAGCTGGGTGTGTAATATGGTTTCATTTGAAATTAATTTTATTAAAAGGACATGCAAACACTGCTATTTATTCTGTTCCAACTGTTGGTTTTATAATAAAATATTATTTTTATTCTTTTAAAATTCATGCAGCACTAGATAAGTTCTGAGGTAGGTCATATTTAATTTAGCTAATGCAAGACATATCACAACCCTGTAATTGCCTTATGACAAAGAAAGCATTACAATTAGGCTGCAGAAGTCAAAAAACTGAGAGCATACTTCTTGTTTTCTTTTAAAAGGTAAATGTACTGAAGTGAAATTTAAAATCTTTTTGAAAAATTAAGATACAGGGGTTTGTGTTCTCAGTAGTGTAATCTTTACATGACACTGAAATTTTACATAAAATTTTGAAGAGGTAGGGCTCAATTTTAGTAATTTTTCACTTCCCAGTTAAGCTCTTGTATGCTAAATGCAAATTTTTTTGTTGCAGTTTTGTCCATCACATTTAAGCCTGAAAATCAAGATGAATTAGTAGCTTGTCTTTTGTTGACTGCTCAGTTGATTTGCCACTAGTGACTGTCGTTGGTTGAGAAAGTTGTAAAACATTTTCTTTTTTAAATTAGATTGACAGAGATAATGATGCCATTGCCTTTGAAAATAAGATCCAGCAGCTGAGCCCATCTGAAGAGGGGGAAGGAAAGAAACCTTTTTCCACAGTTGGGGAAAAAAGGAGCCAAAGCTGCAAAGCGAGTGAAAATTTGTCAGAGTTGTGTAATGAAAGTAAAGAGCAGGAATATGCAACTGCATCAGAACAAATGGTTGTAAAAAATTCCAAGAATCTAAAATTTCAGGCTTGTGCACCACGTCAGAAAAAAGGTAAAACGTTAACAGTGTTTGTAGTTCATTTTTAGATAATGTATGTTGGGTGAGATTTTGAAGTGAGGCTGAAATTTTATATTAAATACAGTGGTAATTGTTGAATTTAGATTAGGTTAAGTCTTAACATTCTGTGGAAATTTGGAAGAAGAAAAAAATACCTTTCAGCCTTAAGCGTTAGAAGATCTTGTTCAGGCTGATGTCAGGAGAGACATTTTGGATGGCATTTAGAAATTAATGGTCTTTTGAACAGTGTGTGGTATGTGAAACCTCCAGGGAGATTTCAAAGTTAATATTGTATAAATGCCTTTGAATAAACCTAGTAATTTATTTAGTCTCTTAATTCACTCATTCAGCTTGAAAATGAGCTTTTTTGAGGGTTTATGGATGAGCTTAGAGTTGTTCCACGTTGCTGGCAGAGGGTGGTTGGCAAGTACCAAACAATACCTGTCAGCAAAGCCTTTCCCAGGACCCAAATAAAAGTGACAGAAAATGGCTGATTTAAGGTTTTAGAAATGTGAAAGTACATTGCAGAAGTTAAGGACTGACTTGGAAGGGAAAAGATAAGCATCTGTTTCCCTAGAAACTGTGTGTGTGTGCTGGAAAAGTTGGATGACATCAGTGATGTTGAGTCTGTAAACGTGTGTGTTGTAGCATCTGGATGTTAAGGTATCTTGGCTGAGGTTGTTTATGGAAATTGTACAAATTGTTAATGTCCCATGTTTTAGTTACAGCCCCTATAGGAAGCACATTTGAGCAGCTTTAAGAAAGCTAACAATGTTCTTTTGTGTGGGCATGAATCCACAATGAATAAATGACAATAAAGTGGTTTTGTTTGCTGTTACTGAAGTGTCATCTGCACATCTCTGTGTGGTATAAAGCATTGTATAAAATGCATTTTGGTCTCAGCATGAAAAACATTACAGAGAGTGCACTTGGGAGCTGAGACAACTGTTCTGGAAAGACTCCTCAAACATGACGTATTTGCCATTTCACAGTTTCAAATCTTCTTCATAACTGAAAGTGTTGCTCATTTAATCTTGTTACTCTCAAAAGAAATTAATTTCTGTTGTGCCATGAACTTTATTCTATGACTTCTTCAAGCAATTGATTCTTTTTTTTTTTTCCCCTCAAATTCAACTAGTAATTTTAAAGAGGCTTTTACATCATGATTTTTTTATATACACTTTACAGATTCAGGACTACCAGAAAGCTGAGAATAGCTTAAGCTGCCATTTCCAAATCTTTGAATAAGCTCCCTTAGTACTAATTACACAGTTGTCCTCAAGAAGTGTGTTGCACAGGTTGTAAGTGCCTTGATGAACCATGTGTTAATGATGATATTGAGAGAAGAAGTCTCATCCTGTCTTGGAGGTGAGAGCTAGGTTAGGAGTTAGGTTTCCTGAGATTAGATTCTAAACTGTATCACTAACATATAGCACTATTTTTGGGGCAAATCACTCAAGTCTTAACAAAGTCCTTTGATATAGAAATATGAAGTATTTTTACCTGAAGTAGAGGGACTCTGTTGAAATTGGTACTGTTTTTTGAAAATGTAAAGTCATTATTTTGTGGCTTGTACAGTCTAAATGTGTCTCTGTTCCAACAGGAGAAAAAGAAGGTTTCAACTGCTGTTTCTGTTCGTTCACCTCAGCCAGATTGTCAAATCTGAAGCGTCACTTGAAAACCCATTCTGATGAGAAACGTTACCTGTGTCACCTCTGCCCGAAGGCTTTTCGTACAGCAACTCTCCTGCACAACCATGTGAACACGCATACAGGTGTCTAATGCTTGAAAATACTTCATTTTACACCCTGTCTGCAAAACTGAATTAACAGGCAAATGACTTTGCCTTAGAGCTGTGATCATTTTGTACTCAGAAGTTTCTCTGATTTTATTTGGTGTTCCATGCTGAAAAGACATTGTCTGTTGTTAGTAACTCTCTGTGTATGTGTTTATTTTATTAAATACCATTCTAAAAATTTTTGGCAAGTGAGTATGACTTCAGTTGTGCCTGATTCCTATATGCATAGTAGAATGTTCTGTGATGTTTTCATTTTGCTGTATAAACATATGAAGCAAAGTGATAAATTGTGTTTATTATAAACTTATATTGTACATATATATTGAAGAAATTCTTTACTGTGAGAAGGGTGAGGCACTGGAGCATGTTGTTCAGAGAACCTGTGGATGCCCCATCCCTGGAAATGTTCAAAGTCAGGTTGGGTGGGGCACTGAGCAACCTGATGTAGTGGAGGGGATTTGGTACAAGATGGTCTTTAAGGTTCCTTCCAACCCAAACCATTCTATGATTTATTGTATTTAAAAAATCAGATCAGGAAAGGTTCTATTAAAAAATTGTGAATATTGGTGTTAAATAAAATTCTAATGGTGTGTTCTTGCAGGGACCAAACCCTATAAATGCAGTGACTGTGATACAGCATTTGTGACCAGGGGTGAGCTTTCACGACACAGGCGGTACAAACACACCTTAGAAAAACCTTTCAAGTGCACAATATGTGAATACTCCAGTGTAGAAGTAAGTACAATCATTTAGCTTTTTAAAACTAGTTTGAGAACATTTTTATTATGCTGAAACTGCTGCCAGACAATGTGTTTGTGTGAATTTGGTCCTCTTCCTTTACACTTCATTGTATATACTGTGGGGCAATACTAGCTGATGTCTAGAATAAAGGTCATGTGTTATGTTTATATACTTGATGATGTTTGGTTTTCTTTTCAGAACTGAAATTTTCTTACTCAAGAAATAAAAAACGGAGAGTCTGTCTAAGGGTTCAGTTGTTAAAAACAGGCTTTCAGAAATGCACCTGTGATTGAATCACAGTCACAGTTTAGTGGATATTCACTGTCTGAATTTTTTATGTGCTGTGTCCAGATCTGAAGGTGTAAGCAAGCCTTAACTTTATTCCATGCACCTTACCTTATTAAATAGATTTTGGATAGCTTGCATCTTTAAAAACCCTGACAGTTTATTTTAAATGATTCTATTCTTTCCCTTGTTTCAATAAGGAACTATTCAGCCCTCATTGCTCTTCCAGAACTCTCATTCCTGTGAGCTTTACCTGAATGAGGAAAGCAGGAGCTCTGTAGTACTGCCATGCAAATTGTTTGACTTTTGTATAGCAGAGGTTGGCAGTCATTTAATTGTATTTGAATAATGTTGTAGGTTTGAATGGATCTGTCAGTGAATTCCTTAAATATGTTTATAAATGGAGGAATTGAACATTTGGTAACTCCCATTTGCATACCTACAATATTTATGTAGAACAGATCAGAACAGTAGAACGAAGTAGAATGAAATAAACTTTGCAGCATTGGGACTTGAAGGTGAATAGACTTTGGTTAATGAGTTTGGTCTTTCATTTATTTTCCTGAGTATTTTCAAAGAATTTTATGTTTGGTATGTCCAAGTAGTGTGAGAGGAGTAGGTATCCTCTTTATAAAATGCTAGCTTTTATGTTCTTACTAGAAAATTTCTTCTACTGTGGACACTAAACATGGAAATAAGACCATCTGGGAAAGAGTAAAGTGTTGCCTAAAACCACAGCAGGCTGATTGTGCAGGAAAAACAGGGAGGGGAGGAATATGGATGTGAGAGTGCTAATTCTGGGATTAATGCAATATTTTAAATTGCAATGGGCGTATTATGTAAAATTGCTTATATTTTAATTGATTATGTGTCTAATGTAGGTGTTGCTTTAGCAAATCTCTGATTTTTATGTTAGGCCAGCAAAATGAGACGACACATTCGTTCCCACACAGGAGAGCGTCCCTACCCCTGTGACCTTTGCAGTTATGCCAGCAAAGATGCCTACAAACTGAAAAGGCACATGTTAACTCATACAGGTAGGACTCTGCAATGATCAAGTCTATGGCCTTAGGCCCTTAGCATTCATAGGGTTAGAATGATCTAATTTCAGACTCTAAATTAGTCCTTTTTTAATTTGTGATTTTGAGTAAAAATATGTAAACCCCATGTTCTCTTTAAATGTTCTGGATTTGGCTATTGGAGATCTAGCTGTACAGTGCTGTTAGTCTTGCTGCTCTTCCTGAATTTCTTTTATATTAGGAAATTATTTTCCTGTTGTTTTCTGTGGATCAAGTTGTCACTTTTATTTCTGGATTATTTGATTTTATATGGAGTGTGTCTGATGGGAGATTTTTAAATGTCTGTTCAAAACGTGGACATTTCTGTGGCCCCAGACTGGTAGCAACTAAGTTGGTCAAAAAGATTAAATTGCTTAAACATTGAAAGCAGTGTGTTCCAGTCACAGCTCTGTAATGTGCAAGTCTTCTGAGAAGGCAGTTGGTACCTATCCTGTATTTCAGGGTTTAACTTAGCTCAGTTATGATATATAATGTGTGTTATAGTTGATGTTTTAGTTTGTTTCAGAGCGTGACAGTGTGGTTTCAATCAAATCTTCCAAATATCCCCACTTATCCCTCATTGGTTCATGTCTTGAGACAATTTTTGACTTGTAGATTCTGGAAATCCAAATTTTGTGTTGTAATCAGTTACCTAAACTTACAGAAACTTATTTAGCCATTTGTGCATTGTCAACTAATAGTAACTTTTGGTCGGTCTGGGGACTGTTGCTGTTAGAACATGTTGAGGTCTGTGGGAATTTGCACTGGTATCAAATGACTAGACCTTCTAAGCACATGTTATTTTAATATCTTTTTAATAGGAGAAAAACGCTATGAATGTTGTGTTTGCCGGGCCAGATTCACTCAGAGCGGTACCATGAAAATCCACATGTTACAGAAGCACGGAGAAAATGTCCCCAAACACCAGTGTCCACATTGCAGTACCCTTATTTCCCGAAAAAGTGATTTGGGTGAGTTTAAAGGAAAAAAACTGAAAATGAAACGTAGAGATAAGTAAAGGTAAAATTTCACCAAATATGTTATATTTGACTTCATACGATCACAAAATACTTCTGTGGAAAATGTATTTATGTTTTACAGGTAAGTTCCTCCTGAAAGGAGATGTGGTGACATCTTGTGGTTGATGTTTTAATTTGTTTAAAATGCAAAGTAGCAAAGATTCAGCTTTTTCTTTTGCTCAATACCTGTGGCACTGTGACCTTCTGTCTTTCAGTAAGAAATGTCTGAGGCAGTAGAGCTGACCAGTAACTACAAAACCCATATAAAATTTTAAGTTTCCAGAAATATATGAAAAAGCTATATTAAAGAAATACTTAGACATACAAAATGCCTTTAGAATCTATTTAAGTTTTCAAATAAAGATCCAACCGAAATATGGTAAATATTTGAAGGTAGAAGTGGAATTATTATTTACAGGCATTGGAACGGCCTACCCAGAGAGGTGGTGGATTCACCATCCCTGGAGGTTTTTAAAAAGAGATTGGATGTGGCCCTCAGTGCCATGATATAGTAATTGGAGTTGGATCAGAGGTTGGACTTGATGATCTTGGAGGTCTTTTCCAACCCAATCTATTCTATGATTCTATACATACAGTTTCTTCATGTATTTTTGCAGTGTTCACTTTGATATTGTAAATACTGCTTTGGGTAACATTTTTCAATGAATTGTTGTGTACAGACTAATGCAGGGGGTTACTGGAATTTTTAAAAGTGGTTTGTTAAGCAATTTTCATTGAAATCAACAGGATTGATTTCTATGGAAGAAATCAATCACCACCTTGCTGCAACTTTAGTTGTCTTAAACTGGTTCAGCTATTTTACGTGTACTGGAGAGAGCACTGAAGGTTCTTTTATGTTTGCGTTACTCAGGGATGTAAACAGTCCATCTTTCAGTCAAAACTGGGGAAATCAAAAGCTTGCTGTTAAACTGAATTGTTTTGGATCACTGTTCAGGTGTCCACTTGCGAAATCTTCACTCCTACGTGGAGGAGGCCATGAGGTGCAGTGCCTGTGAGGCCGTTTTTCACGAACGCTACGCTTTTCTTCAGCACAAGAAGACTCACAGAGGAGGAAAAGGATTCAAATGTGCTCAGTGCAGCTGCACGTGTAATCAGGTATTTAAATGCCCTGAGAAAATACTGCTTACTCACTTGGTGGTTTGGCAAGGTGTGGTTGGCTTTGGGGTTATATTCACCTGAAGAGAATAAAAGCTTTTGTGCCTGCGGTCTGACTAAAATAGTGTGGTTATATTTATTTCCAGGATAACTTGTTCACAAATAAACAGTGAAAATGAAATCTTCTTATCAAGAAAAGTATTCTTGATAAATCTTTTGTACGTGAACTGCTTAGAAGTATCAAGTAAGAGCAATCACTTTCAGTGATGTCCTGATAAGAACAAAATACAGTATTTGAACCTGAAATGTGATTTTCAGCAGTGACACAAAATGAACTCAGTCTGAACTGAAAGCTGTATTTTAAAGAGTACATTTAGGATATTTAGGATAGCTTTGGCCTTGATATGTTGGAATGTATCATTACTCTGGTCTGGTTATTTTCTCAGCAATCCTTAATAAAGTTAGGAGGAAAACCTCTGACCTTCTCCACGGGGGAGCAGTATCCCAGTGTGTTCTTCAGCATCTGCTCACAGTGGAGGATAAATAAGGAGTCTGTGCAACACCCTAACACTTTTCTGGTGCCTGTGAGAGTTGTTTGTACATGTGTCACAGAGCTGGGTAGTAATGTTACGGATATTTTTGTGCTGAATTGCACATAAACAAACCCATACTGGTGAGAAGCCCTTCACTTGCTCGTGCTGCAGCACAAGCTGTTGATGGAAGCAGCTCCTCACTCTTCCCTTTTGGAAGCACCAGGACTGTAGTGTTAAACCCACAGTTTATGAATGCCCTAAATGTGGTAAGGGCAAAGATAGATAAGGGCAGGGTAAGATACTTCCTTTAAGGGGTCTCAGTGGAGTTACTTTAGAAAGTATTGCAGATTGTGTTGGCACAAGGGACTATTTACAAGAGTATGTAGTGACAGGACAAGGGGGAATGGCCTTAAACTGACAGGGAGTAGGTTTAGATTGGATATTAGAAAATAAAATCTTTACTGTGAGGGTGGTGAGGCCCTGGCACAGGTTGCCCAGAGAAGCTGTGGCTGCCTCATCCCTGGAAGTGTCCAAGGCCAGGTTGGACAGGGCTTGGAGCAACCTGGGCTAGTGGAAGGTGTCCCTGCCCACTTCAAAACTATGTGCAACGAGAACATATTTCTCATTTTGAGTTAACTGTGCACACTTTAAAGTAAGTGTAACCTTTTTCCCACATACAGATTTTATATGTAAAACTTTATTGCTTATCCAGGAACCAGAAAATGATAAATTTTATTTTATACCCACCAAATGGCAACATTCCTTTACAGTAGAATTTTAATACATATTCTGGAAAATCTTCAGGAGTTTTATGAACATTGTTAACTAAGTCAGTCTTCCACTTAGCATTCCAAAATTTGTCTGTCAGAGCCGTATTTGTTTTGTGTGTGTTGAGTTGCTTCCGTAGATTAATATCTGATTCATATATTTATTCTTCATTATGCTGACAGAAAAATATGCGTAAGCATGCTGAAAATTGTGGATTGGGGAGGGCAGAAACTGCTGCACCCAGAAAAAGAAGCAAGGAGAAAAACAAAATCCATGAGAACCCCAAGCGTGTTAAGTCAGAAGGTAATCAGCAAGTAAGTTAGAATTTAATCATGTAAATTAGATTCCAGACTAAAAGGCTAAGGCAGTGAGTCTTCCCTGCTGTTTAATTACTGTTTCATAGTGAAGCTAACAGTGGAAGAATACTTCAGAAAAGGGTTTTTTGTGTGTCAGAAATTCTTGTCATCTGTATTGGGTCATTGCTCAGGTGCCCATTCTGGGCTGTTCTCCTGCTCAAAACGAGTTCCTAAACTCCCTACTTAGCAGTGCTTACATATAGGGTTTTCTTTTCCCTTTTGCAATTTCCCTTTGCCTTTATAAAGGAAAATGAGACCCATCCTTGAGCTGAGCCCTAGTGAGATTTCTTGAGAGCTCATGATTTATAATGCACTGCTTTAATACAGACTGGATTAAAAACTTTTTGCTTTCAGGGCTCAGATTGCCTGTTAACCACAAAAGGTCCAGTACATCTTAGTAAAGAAATTGTTCACCACCTTTTTGTCATACTTGGATCAAGTAGTGATCAAATAATAATAAAATGTTACTGATTTAAATGGCCTCTCTCACACTACAGAGATGAGCAGGCCCATTTATGAAGCTCATCTGTGCAGTCAGAAAATCACCCATAATTACTCAGTGCTGCTCTTTGTGGGTAGCTCTGGAGCACTGAGTGTTTATTCTGTCACTTCAGTCTCTGCACTGTTGCAGGGTGAGAGCTGGTTGTGTGTTTCCAAGGTCACCTTCAGGGCCACCATGGCCAAAAAGTAGCTTTGCCTGACCAGAATATCCCGTCATTTGCCCCTGTGCTTCCCAGATGGTGTTTGAAAGCCATAATAGTCTCCTTGATAGGATTCCTCAGGTGATTTTTATGGAGTAAGAGACAAGAATGCAGATACATCTTTGGCCTAGGTGTCCCAAAACCTTACCTTTTCATATATCAGATTGTATCTGCACTGATTCGTGGCCAGTGACACTGAGAGAAAATCTGACACAGTGAGAAGAAGAAATGTTGGAGCTTTTCTGAATCTGATGAATATATATCAGCAGCTGAGTTTACATTAGCATTGACACTTCTGTTTTCACTGGTGAGGCTGTAATGGTATGGTTAGAGAATAGTTTTACAGCTGCAGTGTTTATGTTTTTGCAGTAATTAGATTTTGCTGTTATTAATGTTTTCCTACATGGGAACAGCTTCTTTTTAGTATCTTGCAAATATCTTCATCTGAAAGCTTGATTTTTCTAGAGCTATGATAATGTATTTTTAGATGTTTTTCATGCAAATGCTCAGTTCATAAATTGACTCACACAAATATTAGAAATTTCTGTGCTGTTTCAGAAGGTTTTTCCCCAAAGTTGATGTTTGCAAGTTTTTATCTATCAGTGTCCACTTCCTGCACAACTTGAAGGGGCCTGTGGGATCCTATATGTGGCTTTACAAAAGTCAACTTGTGAGACTGGTGTTGTCAATGATTTGCTCATGCTAATAAAAAAGAAAAAGGATGCATATGATAATTAAATTTCTGGTTAAATAATGCTTAGTTTTCCTCTGATGAGAATACCATACTCAGTAACATGGCTTTTAATGTAATATTTGACATAAGATAGATTCATTCCCCAAATAAAGTGTAAAAGATGTTGGTACATATTGGCAGTATTTTCTCCACTAAATTAAACTGCATATTTGTTAAATTTATTGAAAGATTTACTTGTCTTTCTGGTTAATCATCACAATATTTAATTCTTTTTTTCCTCAAAGTTGCCCTGAAAACATTCCAAGATGTCTCTACTGTGAAAAATGAACATTGTGCCAGTGAGATTGTTCCTGTTTTAGGTGGGATAGAAACAGCAACTCTGAGAGAAGACAAAACAGAAGCAATTTGTGAAATGGATTCTCAACATGATGGACAAATAATTCACAAACAGACTGATCTTGCTTGTTCTCAGTGGTTGTAACTGACCATTTCAAAGTGTGGAACTACCTCCAGTTAGAAAGTTGGAAAAGGTGCTGGTTGAAAGCTGTTGAAGCCTCTCTGTGCTCATATTTCTTCTTGCTGCAATTTCTGCTGTGTAGCCTAAATACCACTGCCAAAGTGTGAAAATTATAGGGAACCTTTGCCTGGTTTATTACATAAATGTGATAACAGAATGAGAAAAAAAATAGCTATTTTCAGAGTAATTTATTAAAAAATGGATAGGTTTGTTTCACCTTGCATTTCATTTTTCTCCAGCCTTACCCACAGAATTGCAGATTGATCTGAGGCAAAGTTCTGCCTCAGTAGCTCTATAGCACTGAGAGCTGCATGAACTTCAGAGGGTTTGTGCTTTGCTGGGGTGAGCACATGAAAGGCAGTGATTTTTTAATGCAAGGAACATTTACTAAACCTCCTTTCTGCAGACACTTTAGTTTCTAATAGAATTCATGATGCTAAAACACAATTTTGTGAAAAAGCATTTCTGTGAAAAATACATGGACAGGAATTACCATTTAGGGGACAGAAACCTCATTCAGTTTTGTAGTGTTTTGGCAAACACTGAGAAGTCAGAGTGCTTGAATTCATCAAAATTTGTCACTGGCTTTGTTTTTCCATTACAGTTATTTGAGTTATAACGATACATATTTATTGATTTGTTTCTGTTTTCACAGTGGTAAAGTTCTAGTAAGCTCATTTGTTCTTAGCAGAACTTAAGAATACTTTTGTCCATGATAATTGATTAAATAATATTGTTCACTTTATTCTTGTTGTGCTGTTTCCATTGATGTTATAAAATCTAAGCAGCAGAGTTGTTTAAATTACTTGATGAATTTTATGAATATATATTATTCATTTAATAGTTGTTAATAACAAAGCTGGCACATTCTGTACCAACATATAAGAATCAGACTACATGAAGTGGAATATGAATGTAGTAATAAAAGATATATTTATATCTGAACTTGCAAAATTATTTTTTCAGTAGTTAGAAGCTGGAAGTGCGTCCTTTTGGGAATCAAGAAAGAATGGTTTGACCTCTTCAGGAGTCATTCCTAGTGGTCCTGTGCTTTATAACAGCAGTGATTGTTCTTCATGATTAAGTATTTGCATAACTATGCAAACACAAATATTTTGTCATTATTCAGATTGGTGTTTTACAAAGATTTAATTATATATTTAGACCAGTATGCATGTATTAATATCTTTTAAAGCAATACATATTCTGAACAGATTCCAATTTTTTAAATATTTTAATTTAGTAATTTTGGAGGAGTTGCTAAATATACAGACAGGAATTATTCATGTCATGAAACAGATAAGACTGAACTATTCTATAGTATTCTCTGATAATTGAGTTATTTGGGAAAGAAGGGGAAGCTTGCTTTCCAGGTTTCCCCTGCGAGGTGAAACTGTCCCCAGATGAGGTGGGGGAGAGGAGCCGAGGCCGTGGATGTTCCTGCGGGAGGATTTGGGGAGCGGCCGTTCCCGGCGGTGCCCGCAGGGGGCAGTGCGGGGTCACGGCCGGGAATCGCTGCCTCGGTCACTCCCTCACGGCCCTGGGGCGCTCCGTGCGTGGCAAGGCGATAGAAAAAGAGCTCTTTGTTGCTAACGAGTCCTAGTGTCACTACAAAGTGTAGTCATCCCTGCCGGGAAAGAGGGTGGGATGTACACACCTGGCTTCTGCTGGAGCTGTTAGAGAGCATCCAAAGGAGAGAAATGGAGATGGGGAAGCCGTGTGAGGAGCGGCTGAGGGCACTTGGTGTGTTCAGCTGGAGGAGACTGAGGGGAGACCTCACTGCAGTTACAACTTCTTCAAGAGGGGCAGAGGAAGGGCAAGAGTGAGCTCTGCTCTGTAGGGACCAGGGACAGGACCCAGGGAATGGCCTGGACGTGTGTCAGGGGAGGTTTAGGTTGAATATCGGAAAAGGTTCTTCCCCCAGAGGGTGGTTGGGCACTGAACAGGCTCCCCAGGGCAGTGGGCACAGCCCCAAGACTGCCAGAGCTCCAGGAGGGTTTGGGTGACACTCTCAGGACCACGGTGTGACTCTTGGGGATGGGCCTGTGCAGGGTTAAGGGTTGGACTCGATGATCCTTGTGGGTCCCTTCCAAGTCAGCATATTCTGTGAATCCTGGCTGGGGTGGGATGGGGCTGCCTTGTTGCTCCTGGAATGGGAATTTGTCCCCACTGGGGCTGGCAGAGGCTCAGCTGGATGGCCGGTCCCTCCACGTCCATTGGCTGTGACACCCCTTCATCCCTGCACGTGCCTTTGCTGTGTTTGCCTTCAGCTCTGCTTTACTTGGCTGAGTTGGCAGGTGTGTGCCACCAGTGCAAGGCAGGTGCAGTTAACATGCAATTAATATACATTAGGGGCATGCTAATATATTTTCTGGTACTGATAAAAGATTTTCACATATCAGTAAAGTTATTGTTTATTGATAATTTCAGCTGCTTATCTAAGAAATCCTTACCTAAAGAGGTTTTATGGCTTTTAACAAGCAACAGATTTGTTAGACAAATTTTAGAAGTCCTTTAAGGTGAGGTGAAGTGTGCACACAGGCCATGAGGAGTGATCTGGCCCTTTGATAAAGGGTGCACTTGTCAAACCCAGTAGAATTCTTTTATGTGTTCTCCAAGTGAAGTGTTGACACAACAGTGTGGGAACAGTGCACAGTCAGCATCACCACAACACTGGGTCCTTTCATGCTGTGATGTAAGATTTTACCATGAGATGGTCTTTACTCATCATCTAAGCATTATTCTGGTAGAGTAGATGAGGAAATGGTGGATTTCCAGCTGATTTCCATTTTTGTGAATGTTCCAAGAAATGTTCTTGAACTGTCATCGTAACGTTCCTGCCATCCTCTCCTTTGTATCCAAACTAATCTTTTTCCTGTCTTTCAAATCTTTTTGCTGATTACCAAGTCTGGATTAGGCAAACATGTCTGCTGTCTGTCGGCACATCTACTACTGAAGATCTTTGCCATGATCACTTTTTTGTTAGCTACACAAATTTGGTTATTTAACAATCTCACAACTATACTGCAAAGATAACTGACAAAAAATTAACAGATGGGAATGTAATTGTTGTTGTGAGGAAGCCTCACTTTCTCTCAACTATAGCTGTGTTGTCCCCATTGTACAGATGAGAAAGATGATACACGGAACAAAATTAATCTCTGATTTAATCCTTTTGCCTTCAGGAGCAATGAAGCCCACTGATGATACAGTATGCTGCTGCTTATTACTAGTTTAATTTCACTGAAATAGAAACAGAAACCTGGGGTGTTGCAGCGTGTAATGATTAAGTTACATTAGCAGAAGGTGGTGAGCAAACAGGCAAGGACCTGAAGACATAAAGCCAGTGCTGTTAATCACTTCCAGAGACACTAGAATCAGAATATTAAAGCTGAAATAACATTTATAATTTCTTAAAGGTCAGTGCTTAAGATGATATGAAGGCACTCTGGCAGCATGACTAACAGCCATGGGCATGAGTGTAGAGCATCCCATAAGGAGGAAATACAGAGGGTTTTGTCTGATGGCAATTGGAAGGTTCATAGAGGAGACACAGGCTCCACAGTCTTAAGACCTTTCTGAAGTAGGAAGAGTAAAATGAGTAACACTTTCCTTTTACAGAAAAAGAGGCCCTTTTTGCTGTCCTTCCCCCTGAATGCAAGCTCCCTCCATGTGGTCCCTAATGCATGACTGAATTATGGCTGACAGGGTTATATATGGCTCTAACAGTAACTTCCACTCGCACAGTTTTATATCTACTTCTTGTTTTGTTTAAGAAACTGAACGTGCATTTGAAAGCAATTTACATTAATACAGTATGTCTTCAGGCAAACATCTTTCCCTGTTGCTGAGCTTTTAAACAGCCCAGCTATTGTTTGATGTTAGTCACAGAAACAGCTGGGCTCTGTCTGGCATTGGGGGGTGTGAGTGTTTCAAAATGGTAAAGCATTTTTGGACAGTTTTGGTTCAATCTGTTTTCACTTTGAATTGACACTTGACAATGAAGAATTTAGTTTCTTTCTCCTTTGGTAATTGACTGAGTTACCTCTGTAAATGATTTTGTTTATTTTTTGCTTTGGAGGTTTTTTCCCAGATTGTCTATTGTTGGTTTTATCCCTGCTCTGTCCATATAACAACATTTGCAGCTGATGGGAGGAATGCAAAGGAGTGACATTGCTGATTGCTTTGATAAGAAAGAGCCTTGCTTTTATTATCAACTAATTAAATGGTAGGTAGCAGCTAACGGTCATTAAAATTAAGCCTTGGAACTGCCATCCTCTTTCTGGAAGAACTGTGTGCTGAGAGAATTAAGCTCTTCTCCCTTTAAGGCAAAAGTGATATTTTGTTTTTCTGTTATAGTCAGCCATCAGTTGTTTCACTACAAAGTGAAAGTTATAAAACTGTTTATAGTTGGTATTTTCCAATTCCATTTTAAATGTCTTACTGTTTGAACTGAGTCATTTATCCCTTCATCATTTAGCATTACTGATTGTGAATTTAAATAGTTTAATTTCACATGGGCTGTACCCTCCTGGCCATGCCCTCTGACAAAACTTACGCAGGAGTTTTACTTCAGTAAAAATTGTGTGATAATGAATGTCATCATAGTGTTAAGGTAAGACTTTGCTCCATCTTTGCATAGGTGTAATTTTTATAGTCAATTCAGTTGGTTCAGTGACTTCATTCAAGTTGAATGCGAAGTGAGACAGAGGGTTTTGGGGCAAACTTCCAAAAATTGACACAAAACCAACAAAGAAGAGAAGAGGAGAATACCCAGCACTTTGAATCCAATAAAGATTTATTTCTGCTTCTCTTGCAGTGCCCAAGGAATGCAGGAGCGTGTGGAGGGGCTGCTGGCTCCATCCTGCCAGGAGAACAGCCCAGGAGGGACCTGCTGTTCCTGCCGGGCTCCCCTCGCCTGGCAGATGCAGGCTGGCTGCAGGAGGTCACTGTGGGCAGCCAGGCTGCCCTAATGTGGGGTTTTCTCCTTCTCAGGAGCAGCTGATTGAGTCGAAACAATACTCTGCTTTCCCCATTTGATGATGAAGACTGACAGTTTGTGGGAGATGAGTCAAAGGTCACTGATGAGAAGATCCATCCAGATAATTGCTGTAATTGCACCCTGAGGATGCAGCTCCCGTCACAAAGCATCAGGCAGTGACTCTGTTGGTAAATATATACTTGGAAGTGAACTTCATCCTGTGCTTTAAATCAGGAAAGTTCCTTCATGAGATATAACTGGAGAAAGTTCTCTTGATTTTTTTTTTTCTTAATCCAGCCATGTTTTCTCCTGTTGGCAGATGAATAGGAAATAGCCCCATTCTGAAACAGAGGAGTAATTGTAATTTAAACATAAAATTGCCATTTAGTGTTAAATCCTTTGATGAATACACAAGCTGTTGTTACTTCACAACAAATATCAATAAGCAGCATGAATGAATGAATATACATAATTCATAATATTTAACTTGAAAGTGAATCTTTTTCTTACAGTGATTGATTCATTTTTTTATGTTTGTCCAGTGACTTCTTTACAACTTAATACAAAAAGCTTTTCTGATGGAGAGTGAACAGTAACAGACACAAGCAGCAGGCCTGCCACAAAATTAGCTCTTTATTCCACCCCTTCACAAGGCCCAGAAATCAGCAATGCTAAAATATTAGGATGAGAATTCATAGTGGGGAATCAGAAGCAATGAAAGGATGTAAAATTTCTCAGATTATCAGTACTTGCTGTTAAATTAAAACTCAACTATTCTGATATAAAACTAAGAGCCTTATAACAGCTAGGTAGCAATTTCAGATATTGGGGCCCTAGTTTCTTAAACTTGTAGATGAGAGGAAGGTGAAACCGTTTGGATTTCCTAGAAAACATAAGGAGTTTGAGGTTATTTATACGTCTCAAAATGCAATAAAATATAAATATAACTTTCATAAGCATCAGTGGCTCGGTCTGTGCAGGGTTGGGTGGTGCTGTGGTACCCAGTGGTGTTTCCAGGTGAACAAAATCTTGTGTGCTCCTTCCTGTGAGTGCACTGGCTGTGAAAGCAACTATCCACTATTTAATGGGTGTAGGCAAAGCTGTTTCATGTGATGTCCATTGAAATCATTGATCAAAGATTAATTTTTAATTTCCAGAACTCAGGCTGTTCTGTGGCTGTTTACAAAACCATAAAAATTCCCTCTAAGATTTTGCAATAATGACATTCACGATCAAATCCTTATTTTTAGAAACTGATTTTTTTTGTTGTTTTTTAAGTGCTCTGACTTGAGAAAATATATCTTCCCTAAATACATGTATACTCTTGCTTAATTAAGAAGTAATTTACATAAGTCCTTGTTCTGCATGATATAGAGACCATTAGCAAGGAAGTGAGGAAGTGATGAAATTTGTTCCCTTCTAGCCCACGCTCCCTGGGACACTCATCTAGCCTGGGAATCAGCACAAGCAGGGCACATAAGTATATTTATTTACATTTACCATGGTGCTTAGCTGTTAAGAATGTCCTTTTCTTTTGAATATGACTCAATTTTTTTATGACTCTGCGTTTAGAAAGAAATTGTAAACAGTATTGATCATTGACAGCAGCCTGTTCTTTGCAGTGTAGATAAACTTTCTGTTCCAAGCTTATAAAAGGCACAAAAATAATGACATCATTTCATGTTTCTTTTGTAACGTTACGAAACCAAGCCAGCCTTATGCTTCTTACTGAGCAGAACTAAAATCCAAAAGCTTTGTGGTTGCATTGCTGATTGAAAACTGGGAAAATAAGTTACACCATTATCAATCAGTCAGCCCTTGGCTCTTAGAGTTTGATTATATGAAGAATGAGAAACATCAAACAGAGGTTGTGCTCAGTAGGGAGTTAAAATGGCAGGAACTAACTCAAATATAAAGATTATGTTGTGGTTTTTTACCTCAAACAACTGTGTTTGAATGTTGTCTGTACCATAGTACACTTCCTATTTTAATAGACTGTTTCTTTGCCCATAGGGGAATTTTTCTTCCTTTTTTTTTTTTTTTTTTAGCAGAGGTCCAAGGGATTGGAAGCAAAATATTTGTTTTTGAAAGAAGTTACAGTGTTCGTTTTCTGTCAAAACTCCATAAAGGATTGTGATTCCTCAGCCATTAGTGAGGAGGTGAGTGAGCATCCAGCATTACACATGATCCTGTTTATTAACAGACATTTTCATTCACCATTCAAGGCTCTGTGTGTCCTGTATCAGTTTTCTATGGTTACCAGAAGCTGACAGAATGAAGAAGTGCAGGGTAACCTGGTGTTGCTCTAAACAAAGGCTTGTTCCTCTCCGATACTCTCTGGGGCTGGTTTGCATGTTGGGGCATGTTCCTTTATACCAACATTTAGACAAAGGCAAGGGGAGAAGAACGTTTTCTGGAAACTACTTTGGTCTTTTTCAGTCTGCTGTTATTTCCTCCTTCCTGGATTTTTCTGTACCAACTCCAAGCAAGTGTGATAGGGAAGACAAGTACCCGTCCCTAAACTACATGCCAGTGTAGATACTATAATAATAAAACTTTGCTCTCCTGTTACAGTTTATTCAGTCAAGTTTCTTTCATATTCAGTGAAATTGCTGAGACTTTCCACGCTGATAAAGGCTGTGGTATCAGACATGGTGATTCACAGCACATAACTCTCATGCAAGTATTAATAAAATTAAACTTGTCTTTACTGCTAAGAAATAAGTAGGTACTAACATAGTCATAAGAAAAATTGTGCCAACATAGATTAGTACATTTATAATTAGATGAGTACAAATTGTTTGTAGGTTTCAGACTCCATTTAGTACAGTAGAATATGCATGCAATCTGTAAAGTGGAATGATTCCCTGATTACTTTGGTCGAAATTCCTTTGAAATAACAAACATGTAATTCAGAATAGAATTGTACATTTTTTGTATTTGTTCAATAACAGTCTGATATTATGGTTGTCTTATTTATGCCTTTTGTCACTTATTCGTGCCCACCATAGGTCTTGATATTTATTATTTATTTATGATTAATTTAGTTTCTTTAATTCAAATATGCTCTTGAAAGTCTCTCCAAAAGCTCCTGCTCGTGGGAAACTAACAGGCTTACACCAAACATATCTGTCACTACTAAAAGCTATTTGATAAGAGACTTGGGAAAAGATCTGCTTAAAATACAGCATAAGAGAACTGCAAAAAACAGAGTTCTTGAGACAACTGCTGCACAGGAGCTCTGGCAGCTATTTTTGCTGGGAGTGCTTTGAGTGGAAGACAAACATGGTCAAATTAGCTAAAATGCTGGAAGTTCAGTCAAGGATACTGCCTTAAATAGTTCACCCAGAAAGGATGAAGCTTTCTTAGGGCAGCCTCTTCAGAATTCCAATTGCAGTTAGAATTTTTAATAAATAAATATCAGATATAGTAATTTTTCTGTGATTTTGTTTTGCAGCGGATCATTGGAATGTTCTGAGGTCAAGTTCAGCCCTCCTTACTATGAAATACTCACTAGCAACAATATATATCTGAGAGTAGACCTTGATTAATATTGTTGTTTTCCTATGCTAGGTTATATTTTTTTGCTATTCATGGCATAGGTCACATTGCTGGAGAAAAAAAGTATGATAACAAGATGTTAAAATTTAAAGGAAAATATGTTCATTATTGGCTTACTTTTACTGTGCAATGGTTTTTACTTCTTGCCAAATATCTGCTATTTGACCTTCTCTGGGCTATGATAATATTGACCTAAAGAGCACAGGAGATCATCTTTCAATGTAGGAATAAATTCAATATTTTCTCATAAATATTTTTCATAGAGCCATAGAATACCGGGTTGGAAAGGTCCTCAAGGATCATCTGGTCCAACCTTCCTAGGCAAAAGCACAGTCTTGACAAGATGGCCCAGCACCCTGTCCAGCTGAATTTTAAATGTGTCCAACTTTGGGGAATCCATCGCTTCCCTGGGAGATTGTTCCAACAGCTAATTGTTCTCATTGTGAAAAATTTCCCTCTTGTGTCCAAGTAGAATCTCCCCAGCAGTAATTTTTACCCATTACCACTTGTCTTTTCCATGTGACTCCTTGTAAAAAGGGAGTTTCCATCTTCTCTGTAGCTACCCTTTAAATAGTGGAACGTGGCGAGGAGGTCTCCCTAAGCCTTCTTTTCTCAAGGCTGAGCAAACCCAGTGCTTTCAGCCTTTCCTCACGTGGCAACTTCCCAGTTCTTTGATCATCTTTGTAGCCCTTCTCTGGACCCTCTTCAGCCTTTCCACATTTTTTTTGTATAGCAGGGACCAAAACTACTGAACAGTGTTCCAGGTGAGGCCTGACAAGTGCTGAATCGAGTGGGATAATAAGTTCTTTATCTCTGCTGGTGATTCCCCTATGGATGCAGCCCAGCATCCTGTTGTGTCTCTGCCACAGCAGCTCACTGGTCACTCATACAGAGCTTGTTGGCCACCAGGACAGCCTGGTCCTTTCCCACAGAGCAGCTCCCCAGTCAAGTAGATTCAGACCCTAATGCATCACTTTCTCAGTATCAGTAAAGCTTCATTTTTGGGGGTCAAATTTGAGGGGGAAATCAGTGTGCCTAATGCTGGGCATCCTTATTCTTCTTTTCTGGTGCTCTCTCAGGTGAAATGATCACCTACCAGCACACTGTCTTTCTCAAATACTCCATGCTGCCTTATCCCTGGTTCTCATGTATGTGTTTCCTTCTGTGCTACCATTACAACCCCCATATACGTACCTGACACTGCAAGTATTCAGCCTTATCCTTGATCACTCCCCTTCTCCCATCTCCAATCCCTTCAGCTGCCACAAAAGCTTTATGGGAGTTCCAGTCTCTCCCAAAATGCCATATGTGTGGGTGTGACCCCCCCCATCTGTTAATTAACATTGGCAGGCACAGACCAGTTTCTAATCATGTGGGTAGGTGGTGGCTATACTCAGCCCACTTGTATGAAAGATTAATTTCCAAGTGCAAAAAAAGTAGAAGGAATTCAGCAGAACCTTCGTGGCGACCTCTTTGCCAACACAGCCCCTTGCTGTGGTTTTGTGTTGGTCTCAGCAAAGGGTTAACTGTGCACAACCAGTCCCCTCACTGCCTCTGCTAAAGGAACATTAATTATAGAGAGCCCGAAGGACTCAGAGCTAAAAAGCCTAAAAAGGCTGAGTAGTATTTAAAACCAAGACAGTCAAATAACCGGTTGGATTTGATCTCTAATAAATTACTATGTTCTGATGGTAAAATTCAGCAAGAGTGTGACAGTCAGATGGGGAGGTTGGCAGCAAAAGTTTTAAAAATAAATAGTCTTAAATTGCAGGAAATTACAGCAAGCAGCTCCTTGGAGTTATTTTTCTGCACACATTGTGTGTCTGAGAAGGCAGGCAGCCTGCTGGCAAGCTTTTGACCTTTTGTGTGTGAAATAAAATATGCAGGTGCAATAGTGTGAATGCACAACGGGGGACAGTGACTTTCAGCTGTGGGTTTGAGTGCTGGGGGCCCTGCAGGGCTGCCGGGAGTGCTCCAGATTAGCTCCATTAAACTTTAGAGCAACACAGGGAGAGGCTGTGGCTGTAAAGAATTGCAGAATATGTGTGTTTCTTACAAATATTCTTGTATTCCATATCTGTAAATCAGCCGATGGAAGACTTGTGTTAAATGATCTTGCTGAGAGCTGGTCTGATTCTCGTGTTACTCTATTTGTGTTTCAGTCTGGAGTGACTCTTCTCAGGGCAGTTGAGTTTAGTTCAATGACACTGCTGCCACTGTGATCTCACTCCCAGTTCTTTTTCTGAAAGGAAATCCATACCTGCATGGCAAGGACTTCTTCCCAGTGTAACTATATTCCAAATTCCTAAACCTGCTAAGTAAATGTGAATGAGAAGTGACCAATGTAAAGAAGGTTCTATGGGTAGAAAGGTGACAGTAACATTGGGAATGTCAGCACTGCAGTGGCTGGAGAAATATGTGCTCTCAGTTCTCCCTCTGCAACAGAAGGGACAAGAGTCCTGGAAGTCCGTGGACAAAAGGAGTTGCTCCACTGAAATATTCAGTGTTTATCAGATCAGTGTTCCCATAAACAAAACTGAAGAGTTCCAGTAATTCAGTTATCAGAGTTTAATGTTGTTGTTCCTGTCCCAGTGTTTGTCAGTTGCTCAGGCGTGAAAAATCACCGGTTCCTACTGTGGGAAAACCCCCACGCCATCCCAAACACTTCCCTGTCTTTAAAAATCATGGAGGAGCACATAAGAAACTTACACAGAGAATTAGGAATCCGAAGTTTTATGTACCAATAATTCACATTTAGAACCAATTTTTAGCTCCATGTTCTTATCAAAATATTGAAGTTAAAGGATTTGTTCTTGGAAGCTTAAATAACCTATATAGAGATATTTGTACTCCTGTCTAGGTTTTACAACTAAAACCAGTTCTAACTATTATCTGCTGGTGGCACCATTACACCAGAAGAATTTATTATCCAAGTCTTAAATGAAAAACTTCCACAGATTACACCTTTTAATCTGATTTAATGGGAAATTTTATTTTTTTTAATTTCTTCATAGTTTGATGTTAGTAAACCAAGCTATTTTGATGCCATGAGGCCTTTGTGGGTGACTTTTAAAGACACGAGCTTAATAAGGAACCTAGTGGTGATGTAACAGGGAAGGAAATTGGCTGGCAGTATCACCTAAAGTGGGTGATCCTTTATGCAGTCACACCCTGGGTTTTTTCCTGCATCAGAAGTAATTCTAGATTGAGTTTTATTTCCCACACCATCTTTTTTTTTTTTTAAATTTCAGAAATCTTGACAAAAAAACCAACTTAGAATGTGTTTCATCTTTTGGATGAGGATTACTCTCTGACACTTGACTTTTCTAACTGTAAGCAGGTAGGAACAAGACCCTTAATCTTGTTTCTCTGCTCTAAATTTTGACACTGGTTGGGTTTCTCATATGATCTGCTGATAAAAGCCTTCCCAGTAGCTCTTCATTTACTACAGAATGGCTGAATACTGCCATTAGATTTTTATCTGTGGGGCAACCACACAGACAAAACCATTTGCTTTTGTTAGCGGATAAAATGCACCTGATGGTGTTTTCTTCCCAAACTCATACTTGAAAAACCTACGGATTAAAAACAAGATCCCATTTTTGAAACATATCGTGGTGTTTGCATGGTCAGAGAGGTGCAGGGGGAGGGTTGTTTTGGTTTGTTTGTTTTTCATGTAATGAACACTGAACATTCACAATCTCTGAATACACTTTCTATGCACTCTATAGATGGTAGTTGCATATGTGTGTATGTAGTGCCTGTACCATCTCTTCCTGCTGCCTGAAATTTAATTTTTAAGGATTACTGCCATTGCCCTGCTGTTAACGTTAGTGTGGGCTCAGGAAGTGCCAGCAGTGCTGATCAGAGCACAGAGCAGGTATTCCAGGTAGATTCATGTTGTGTTTACCTCACTTGAAATGCTCCTCTCTCCAGATTTGCTGTTGGTCACTGCTGGAAGAAGGTTGGTGTGTTTGGTGGCTTCTCCTCCCGCCCATGAATAGCAGCAGTTGGTAGCTCAATATTTTCTGTGTACTTTTTCACAGAAATAGATTGCAGAAGGTGTTTTGGATGTGCATTTTGCACATGTTTAGTAGTTGCTAGGCTTCCTGAATCTCACTCTGCATTCCCTTTCCAACTTGGACAAAAATGTTGAGGTGTGAAAATGTCTGATTTTGTATTTTTCTATTTTATTTATTTCACTGATCTTGTCCTAATCCTTCATGAAATTTCCTAGACTGTTTCATTATTGATATATATTGATATATAACTGTGTGGGCCACTTATATACCACAGAACATTGTGCAGTTTGACTTCTCTTGTGCCTCAGAGGCAGTGACTTCCAACACAGAGTGCTATTTCTCCACACAGGTTTCTTCTAAATTTAATTTTTAGCTTAAAGTTATGAAGATTGAAAATTTTTAGTAGTTACCTAAATTAATCTTTGTCCTCCCTGAAGACACAAACACTTCTTAATTAAATACATAGTGGATTCTATTAATTCTGTTTCTTACAAGGAAGTGATTGCTGCAGTCTTCTTCCTTTACTCAAAAATGAAAGAATCACACAACACCTCAGTCCATTATGAATGTCTTTATCCGTGGCCCATGATCCTGTTTGTCAGGATTAAATAAGAGAGAAAATTATTCAGTTTATAAATCCTCTCATAAAACCTGGTACTTTTCTTTTTCTCCCAGTTTTAGAAAACTCAGATTCACTCTATGTTGCTCTCTCCTTCTCATGGTTAATGTTGCTTTATATCTGGGCAGAAGTAATTTGTGCACGACGCATTGCTTATAGGACAGTGCCTAAAAATACTTCAAAAGGTCATTGCACATCAGACAGAAGGCAGCACTTGTTCCAGCCACTCGCACTGAGAACGACAGGTCTTTGTTAATATTAATTGTGCATATTTTAGACAGTGTAGGCTTTAAAAATACATTGCACAAACATGCAGCGATGAGCATTTTGTGAGCCCTGGGACTGGATAACTGGGGTCAGTTCGTCACTGGTGATTTCAGCAATAAATGTTTGCTGTTCTTATTAGCTTTGAGGTTTGTGAATTAGAGCCATATTGTGCATCTGCTTCCAGGAAAGTGGGTATATTTTCACGCTCGCCATTTCCAAAAATACAAGCAAAATTAAAAATAGTAAGAGAGACGTATAAAGCACCAAGAAGATTCAGAGCTAATCATTTGCACAAACATTCACCATGATTGTGATTATAATAGCAATAATGTACACAGAACATGGGAAAAATCTGCTGGGAGAGCAAGGCCAGATTGAGTAAAACTGAAAAGTAGCTCCCAACATGTAACATACACACAGAGTCATCTTTTCTGCCATCCCTTCAAAGTCAAAAGACATGATTTCTCTCTTCAGGTGGACATCATCCAGAAATGATGCTTTTACGAAAAAACCCTCTGAGACTTTATATGTCTCCAGAGGAAAGGCTGCAATATCTGAAAGGCTGTAGGGACATCAAACAAAGAAACCCTGACACCTGGACACCATTCCCATCAAGGCCACCTCACTCGAGCTCACTCGGTTTGTTCTGTAATTTATCTTTAAGAAGAAAATGTTGAAAAGATCTGAATCTGGCTGTGCATCAAAGGCACTGAAGCTGTGCAGGTACATCATTGTTTATAATGTGACAGTGTTGTGTGGCAATTTACAACTCAAATTTATGTTGCTATCGACTATGGCCTTTTTTTGGTTTTTTTTTTTTGAAAACTGGTGCATAAATTTGTTTACAATGGTAATTATTAACACAGGTTTAGAAGCAAAACAGAATGCTGGAAGAATGAAGTGTGATGAAAGCGACAGCATCACAAGTCTGGAAGGTGATGCTGTGTAAGTAAAGCCATTTCAAAACTTCTTCAAATGTGAAGTTTGTGAAGATGAGCATTAATTCTCTTTTGGAAGAAAGAATGAGGTAGAACAGATCGGGTGGTTGCCAGAAAATGGTTTGAAAGAAAGTAATGTGCACATGTTGACATTTCCTGCTTTTACATAATTTTTTAAAAAAGAACTTATGAAATAGCCTTCAGTGTAATAATTGTGTTCATTAGTGGGGTAGGAAGACAAGCATTTCCAGCATCTCAGAAAGGCAGTCTTGCACTGTACCTCTCTTCTGTTGCATTTGACCACCCCAACACATACCTTTGTTTTGTTTCTGAGAAAGCAAGATGCCGTGACTTGAACAAAAACTGAGCAGCATCTTTTACCTGCCGTGTGTGCAAACTGTTCCACCTGAGGGGTTAAATGTGAGGAGAACTTTGTCCACCTTCCCATGGCTGCCCACTTGAGGTAGAAAATCATGGGCTCTGACTGCCTGGGGCACAGCTTTCATTTCTCTTCCTCTGAGCACAGTTACAATTTATTGGCTCATCCCCCCACTCTCCCTCCCTGAGAATCAAATCCACGAAGCAGGTTTTGGAGGGGAGGGTGTTGGTGGGTTGAAGGCTAAGGAATATCTTCCTCCCTGGTCCCTCCATGCAGTCCCTGCCCTGTGTGCTGGATGTCTTCTACCTGATTCCCTGGATTTTCCTTGTGAGAACCCAGTTTTCCTCCCTGTTTACATATACACCCCACCCCACCTCAAGCATCCTGTAGCTCTGCAAATAACGTTCTGCTGCCTTGCTTTCAACTACCATTTGAACATATGTTGTGTGTGGAGATGCTGATGGACAGCAACATCTGCTGCTCCCAGCCAGCGCCTACACTCTTATTTGGACTGTAATTACCTCGTCGGCTGCGAGCTGTGCCCTGTGTTTGCCCACTATCTGTTCCTGTCAGGTCTCTGTCTTCCACAAACTGCCCATTATGTAGCGATGATAATTAAATCTCCCCTCTGCCAGGCAGGTCTGAGCAGTGCACGAAGGGCCCTCCTTGTCCGTGCAGCTGCCAAAGAAGCTGCAGTTCGTAATTGTGCCGTAATCACCTGCCGGCTCCACAATGCCCGGCACCACCTATTTGTTTCCAACAAGCTTTTTTAGCAGCTGTCAGATGCTAATGGCTTTCAGCTGCTGACAACCTGTGCCCAGTGCAAAGCCGGGGAGTATCATGGAAGCGTGTATAAATATTCATGTGGGACTAACAAAACCAAAAGTGCAAGTGTGGTTATCAGAGCTCCTGTTGTGGTGGTTTTAGTGTGATGAACGCAGGGTAAATGTTTAAAAGTAATGTTGTCCTTTTTACACTTGTGAGAAAAAAAGTACCAAAGGTAGTGGGATTGCAGGGGTACATGGGTAAGAACAGGATTCGTGCCCTGAATGATGCAGTTCTAGATGGGGCATTGCTGTTTGTCCTGGGTGATGTGCTGAAAATTGTTATTGAAAGAAAGGAGTTGCTGTGTTTGCTCACATGTCTATTCTGAACCTGCCTATGGAGAATTGGGAGCTTCTCACCGGGTCTGTTCTAGATACTTAAGGAACACAAACCCCCACAGATTGAGCTCAGTGCTTTAGTTTTAAAAACAATTAAGTAATTCCGAGACTAAGAATGTATCTGATTTGGTCAAAACTTGATGATTTCCCACCTCTCAGCACCCTGAAGCCTCAAAGCTTTGACATCAGAATAGAAACATTGTGAGTCAGTTTTTTTAGACAGACTGTTTTACAAATTAATGCTGTCAACGTGTCTGCATGGGATTATTTTTAAAAATATTTTGTTGGTAAGATGCTTTTACTTTTCTCAGCAGTTTCTGGATAGCTCTGCTGAGAGGAGATGTTCAGATTAAAGTGCAAGATGGGGATGATGAAGATTCTGTGACAGCAGTCAGTGGACAAGGATGAGGGTCCTCTTGAAACTCTTCCTTTGGAGGTCCCTGTAAGTTATCTCAGAGGTCAGTGAGACCCATTTGCTCACGTTTCTCTGCCATATCAGTAACTTGCAGTAACATCCCAAATGTGAAAAGTGTTTTTAATTGGTCTTCTGTAAAAGAAATTGATCTTGGGGAGGCTAATAAGCAGTCTTTATATATCCCTTACTTCTTCTGCCCAGAATGAAGTTTACCATTAAAATTCCCTAAAAGGTTGCTGTTTTAGGATTGCATAAAAAGTACAGAGCTGAGCAGGGATTGAAAGATCAATCCTACAAACTGTTGAAATGCAAGTGATTCTACTTATGAGAGCTTCAGTGGGAAAAATTCCCACCGTGATTTGACTGTGGTCTGATTCTCATTTGCACTGACTCTCCTATATCCTGCTAGAAATGGGTAGGATTCAATCTTGAGGGAGGATGACCATATAAGAAATTGTTTTTGAGTATGTGGAAACAAGACAGACTCCATTAAGGCATTTTCTTACCTTCATCTAAATCTGAAAATAATCATAAATTGGTAATGGTACCTTAATTACCTTGAACAATTATTCATATATCTTGTGTGTGTCTGTATTTGTTTGGGGAAGCAGCCTTGTGAAAATGAAGTTAATTCAGTGTCTCAGATGAAGAAGGATATTTGTTAGAAATTGTTGTCATAATAGTTACACAAAAGGATTCAAATATTCTCTAGCTTAGTATGAATAAAATATTAAAAGATACAGGTGTTGTTCATGAACCATCAAAGAGTTTTCCACTGCCACTGTGTTTTATTAAAATGAAAAGAAGAAGAGAAAAGAAAAAAAGCCCTGTGCTAATCCTTTCCTTTGTTGCTTAAGGGACGTTTCAGTATAAAGTAGCAATTTCCATATCATTTGAATAGCAGTTGCAACCCATTGATGTTTAAAGTAAAATGTGCAACTACTGTAATCAGCAAAACAGATGCAAATGTGTTGTCTGCCTCCCAAGTGTAGCTCCCTGCTTGCTGTCTCCGTTAGATTTAGAGTGCAAAACATGATCAGATAATGAAAAACATGGAAGCTATTCTTTTATCTCTTTCATAGCAGTAGTTTGTTCAAAAGCAAGTTGGCTGGATGCAGCACTGAGTGAGAGTCCTGCAGCAGCAGCCCCAGCCCCTGCTCCGGAGCTACAGGAGATGCCTTGGTGCTTTGGAGGTGGAAAAGGGACCCACCACCCTCTTCATTAACCCTGCCCCTGCCCCTGGGGACAGGAATGGCCTTTTGGCTCTGTTTAAGCCCAGTGGCATCCCAGTGCAAGTCTCTGCACATTTTTGTAAGTAAGCAATAACAAAAAAAATAAATGACATTTAACATTTAGATCCCAGACCAGTGGTTTTGGTTGTGCCGGGTACAGCGTAGCAGGCTAGATAAAACCCTGCTGAACTCCCTGAGTCCTGCCATCCCAGGCTTTAGGTGGCTGGAACTGTTCCTCAGAGGGCTTTTAAACTCTAAAAATAACCTGTAATGGTATGAGGAAAGAGTTTACTTTATCCTTCACATTTCCAAATTTAACAATGAACACATGTCGATGGTGCCTTTCTGTGCTTGGTGTATCTGAGCTCCTGGCACAAGGACTAGAGCCAGCAAGGGATTTCCATCAGAATGACTTCTGAGTGAAAATGCCCTTCTTGGTAAAGGGAAACCTTCTCAGCAAAAGGCTTGATGAAGCCTCTCAACAGGTTGTTGATGTGATGAGAAACATGTTTTGCTTCCTTGAGAACACTTTCCTGGAAAAAGACTCATTTGTGGGGTTTTTTTAAATTACTATTTTTCCTAATCAGGAGGCATCTTATGGAAAAGGATTTCCATCTTGTGGTCAGCTGTGGTAATAAAACACTCCTGCTGGACTTTTTTTTTTTTATAGCAAAACAAAATGGTTTTAATAAAAAATAATGGAAATCTCTTGTAGTTCCTTGTGAAGGTAGATGCTGGAGACCTCACAAAGTCTATTTGCATTTGCACAGAAGGTAAAACTGTTTTAGGATTAGCCCCCTTCAGAAGGTCATCTTTGGAACTAAAAAGTATTAGAAAAGGTATAATACAAGCTATTCATGACAGAATATTCAATTTTGACAGATTACACAGCATGTGGGCCTCAGGAGCCACACACAGGAGCCCAGACAGAATTACTTGTAACCTTAGTGGACGAGAGGCAATTACTCCTGAACTCCTGGGAAAACTTCTGTCCAGAGCCAAATATTGTTGCTTGGATTGTTTGCTATTCCAGGATGACTCTTAGGCTCAGTACAACGTCATCATAACTTCATGCAGATATTTGTTGTTCAGGACAAGTTTTGAAACTCATGCTCTAATCTCGAAATAGTAAAATGCTGCCGGGTTAAGTGGTGGAGTTCACTGGAAAATCTGCCCACTTCAGTGGGAAAGATTTTTTTAATACATTAAAAACAAAACAGATTTGGAAAGGTCATTTTAAATATTAAGAACTGTGGCTGAAGGGCAGGGCTGTGTGCTGCAGAAGTTTTGGCATTCAGGATTTCGTGTAGGTGCTCTGTAAATGACCTCTCTTGTACAAGCCCACAAGGACAGGTGGGGCTGTTAAAAGGAATAATTAAATTCTTATATTTAATTATCTTTCTTGTCCAGTTGTGCACTGAGATGCCCCCACTAATTGCACTGATTCTGACTTCAGCAAGAGCTGCACCAGCCCTGAATATTTATAAGGAGAGTTAAATAAAATCTCAGATCAAATTCTTAGAGATACATGTAAGAACTTTGTGAGTCTTTTTTATTTTGAGGGCTTGTAACTAAAGGAGATGTTCAGTGTGTTCCTTAGTGGGTGCCAAAAAGCTTATTTTCAGAAGTGTCTGAATCTCAGGGTAAGTCAATGACTGCTATATTTAATCTGAAGTCTATGTAACTGCTGCTGAAATCAAGCTGTGTGCTTTTTGTAATAATGATATGAAAAAATAGAGCATTTATATGAAAAGTCAGGAACCATGCATGTAACTTATATGCCAGGGTAATGTAGATTTCAAAAAAACCGTTCAACAACATGTCTGAAGTTGTGCTGCAAATATTATCGTAAGGAAAGTAGAAATTAAGAAAATATTTGTGAACTCTTTGCAGTATTTGGTAAATAGTTTCCAGAAAAACTGACATCTGAAGTTTGTACACAGGCCTTGTTCTGTTGGTAACTACAGCCAGTGGGAGTTTTTGCCAGGGTCTCTACTGAAACAGGATCCAATTCTTTTTTTTTTTTTCTTCTTATGTGGAGATATAAATCTTAGACCTTAATTACACTTAAGAAGGAAAATACTTTGTCTTTTTATGTAAAAAAAAAAAGTCATCTAACTATTAAAAAGCATTAAAAAATACTTGAGGAAAGGCTTCCTTAAATCAAACAAATCTCTCATTTTGCTTTTAGGCCTTCCTGGAGGGTGCTGTGTTTATATTATTTACTTTAAGTGTGAGAACTTTGTGTCAGATCAAACCATTAGCAACTCTCTGGGCAGCAAATGGCAAAACACAGCTCGGGGCCCCTCTGGAGAAATGCAGTTTCCACACTTTCACATTTCACCTCAGGATGCAAGTGGTGAGGAGAAATCAGAGAGGAGAGAGGCAGATAACTCAGCCCCGAGGGGAGGAGCAGCTGAGCCCTCCCAGGGTGTCTGTTGGGCAGCCCTGGCAATGCCATGCTGGGCTCTTGGAGCATCCCTGGCCACCCCAGAAACGATGTGTGATGGGGATTCTGCACCCAGCAGAATTCTGGCTCAGGGTCTCTTTCCAACTTTGGACTATTCTGTGAATTGCAATATGTACATGGATGGGCATTTCTTCTTGCAAAGTTTTGGGAGCTCAGGCATTGTCCCTTGCCTGTGATAAAGCTTTGAAGGGCTTTGAGCTTGCTGGTGAAAATGCTGGCTGAGAGATGAACAATTTTTCCTTAATTTTTCTTTTCTCTGCTTCAAACTACTGAGTAATTACATCCTTTGAAAAATGTTTCATTTATCTAGTTCTTTGGGCCCAGTGCACTGTGTGTCAGTGAAGAAGTGTTTTATTTGTGTTAAATTGCATTGACAAACGTCCCTTTTCTAGTGTGGAGGTGAGGTTTGTGCACATGCTTGTGTTTTCATTTCATGTATAAGTGCTCGTGTCATCCTGACAACAGTGGGTGGGCACCCTCCTCCCTGCTTCTGCTGTTTCTAGCCTTGGAATGGATTATTTTGTGCAAGTTTCGGTTCCCACATCCTCAGCTCTTCAAACTGTGAGGCGGAAAGTAAGTATGAGTGTTTTGGAGAGAGCTGGCTGACCAAATGGCCCGTTGTTTTTTTCCTTTTATTACCAGTTGCTAAGAAATGTGTGAAGGAAGCTGTCAAGCACACTTTTATGGGATTACTTTCCACATAAATGACTGCCAGGATCACTGAAGTGTGGCCTCAGAGGAGAGAGGTAGCAGCTCCCAAGGTCAGGAACGGCAGGGAAGTGTCCCAAGCAGGGACTGGCAGTGACTTTCAAATAGACAGGGAGACACTCCTGATGTGGCTCCCCTGGGCGTGGTCTGTGCCAGGACACATCATGGAGAGTTTTTCTTGCCTTAGAAGGGCCTGTTCTGGCTGCTCTGTTTGGTTCTCCTTGGAAGTGGGAAGTCCCATGTTTTGCAATCCCAGTACGCAGTAGAAATGAGGAGTCTGGATAAGGGATGGAGTTCACGGTGCCTGAGAGCAGAGCTTTCATCCATCTGAAACTTTGGTAGTTTCTATGTCCAAAATATTGTGATTTTTTTCCATTGATTTTCATTTTTCTGCAGTCCCTTATCCATGGGCAAGCACTGTGGCACCAGGCTGCAGCTTTCAACAGCAGCATCACTAGTTTGTTAGCTTGTGGCCTTAGGCAAACCTGAAATCATTAACAGCCCATTTGTTGGGCTAATGACTCTTTTTTACTAGATGTATAATTTAATATATGGTTACTTTCATGCCTAATTATGCTCTTCAAAGCTTCTTTTGAAGGAATTTATTTTTCTGCATGCGTGTATTGAGAGGGTTGGCTGGCTTTTCTTGCATGCTGTCCTGTGTTAAAATCTAGATAGTTTATGTAAGAAGATTTTAATTTAGATATGGGAATTTCCCCCGTTGCTCGTTCTTTCAATATTTTTATCTTTGAGTGCTTGAAAAATAAATAGTGGTGAATTACCAACAGGTTTTAAATGGCATCATTTCATGTCCTATTGTAGCTTGGTACATTGTTTTGGACAAGACGTAAACCCAAAGTCCTGATCAATAGGGCCATTGTGGCAGCAGCTTCCAAATGAATGTGAGCCTTGATCTCAGTGTCCTGGCCGTGTTCCAGCCTGGTTCACATTTTACTCAACGGCAAGCCCCACTTCTGTTCCCGTTAACCTCAGTGGGAACAGAGGCAGACCACTGTAAAGTGCTGCTAATCCCACGTGCCATTTGCATGCAGTGCTTGTAAAGCATTCTGGGATCAGTTTGGAAAAAAAGGCTATGCATGTAAGATGTTTTTCATTGGCATCCCAAATCCGGTGCCATATCAGTGAAAGAAGGTTATGACTTTGTCCATCGGGATAATTTTTTTTATTTTTTTTTTCTTTTTGAGCGAGGCAGCTGATTGGGAAGGATAATAAAGATGAATTTGATTTTCTTTCTGTGAGCTCTAGTGTCCCCTTCATGGAGATTAAAAATTTCCCGGTGCTGTTTTCAGCTCCACAGAGCAAGCAAAAGCTAATCTCCTGCTTGGATATCCTCACACCACTGCGATCCACTAATAGGATCTCCATACAGTTTTGACTTAACAGGCACTGGGAGAGGATAATCCTGTTTATTCGGTCATCCAAAACACTGATGATCTGAGATAATCAGTGGGCTGAGAGCAGGGGAGGAGGAGGGACCTGTGAGGTTTGCTTTGCTGTGTGGTTTGTCTGGTCAGATGCTTCGTGCCAGGGAATGGCTCAGTCTCCTTACTGCAGCCCAGACGGAGCATGGGAGGGTACCAAAAACCTCCTCCCAACACCAGCCCTGGAGAGGCAGCCTGATAAAACAACAGCCTTAGCAGTGTCTGGTCCAGATGTTTTGCTCAACAGTTTTAAGTTGTTCTTTCTGTGACTGATTTAATATAGAAATACTCAGATGAGTGTCCGAGCGGCCACGTGAGGCACTTTGTACAAAACACTTTGGCTACCAGGTGGCAGAGGCTGGGTGTCAATGGATCAGCTCCCAGTACTCACTCACATTTGGAACCTTACACAAAGCCAGTCCTTGGATCCAAACTTGCTAAAAGTAAAACCAGTTCCATATTTGCCAGACATGAGACACTGCTTTGTATATTTGTGAGTGGCCACTGGATCTCTGGGAATGTAGGAGCGCATGCTGCAAAGCCCTTTCCAAGAAGAAACTTTCCCCAGTGATTTAGAGATATGCCTTGAAACTGGGCTGTACAGAATCTGTTAGAGGGCATGTTAGTGAGCTTTCAAATTACTTTCCTTTTTTTGCTCTTGTAACCACTAAAGCTTTCACACTTCATATTATATCCCATTAGGTTATTGCCTCAGGTTTCTGTGAAAGGCCCCATCTTCAATTTGATCTCAGTCAATGTGCATTTTATAGACAGACTGACTTTGAAGCCTCATTTTATGATCTCTGAGCTGTCATAGTCCAGATGACAGGTTTATAGTTTGGGAAGCCAGTAGCAATAGCTGAGCTCACTAGTCTTTATAAGTAATGCACTGTCACTAGGTGCAGCTCCTCACCATGGTGACACTGCAAATATTGAACACAAAATGATTCATGAGACCCAATACAATGCTTACTTTAATTAATATTTTACAAGATAACTAGCTTTGTTTAGCTTTCGAAATGGGAGTGGATTGGGGAGATCCAAAGGACGGAATGTTGCTATGTAAAATTTATGGGCACTCATATTTGTGTGCTTGTTTTTAAAATTAAATTAAGAAAATATTTTTTGTTTTCTTCTCTCTCTGCTGGGTCCTGCAAGGGTCTGGGGGATTTTCTGTGTGTCAGTGTTAAATGATGAGGTCTGAAAAGCAATGTTCTTGTTCTCCCTCCCTTTGTATTCCCATGCAGTCAGTGTTGCAGGGCTGTGTCCTTCTGTGAGTGCTTTGGGATACTGTGTGCAGAGAGCACAGTGCTGTGGCCCAGCCCTGGCTGGAGGGGCACAGCATCACTGGCTTTGTTCCAGGTGACCACTGGTGCATCCTGACCATCAGACCCCTCAGACTTGAGGTTCAGTCATATTTCCCTGAAGAAATGACATGTTTTGGGTAAGTAACACCGGATTCTTTACTAAGGTTGGCAGGAAGCAAAGGAGTATGGCAGTTGCAGGCCTTTGGGGCAATACAGGAAATTAATAATTAGGAAATTAGCCACAGTGGTGTGCTATGATGAGCTTATTCCAAATTTCCATGCATCTTAACTGGAATTCATCGCATCTAAAGATCAATCTATAGACCAGGAAAAGAGTTTTACTTGACAGAGGATGATGCATCAGCCCATCTATTTAGGTGGTGGTCACACCATCCTTAGAAGTGGTCAAATCCAGGGTCTTTCCCTTTGGATATGTCCTAACAATCTGAGAGATCAGTTCACATTCACAGCCATGACCTCTCACAGCAATGTCACAATGACCAACATGGGGGAGGCTTGTGAGCACAAACCACTGAAGAAAAACTGTTTCTCAGTGCTGAGGTTTATCTGTAAATTTCCCTACTACAACTAAGATTTCCTTTTGTAGTTTTTAGAACTGTAACTGTAAATAAGCAAACATTATTAGATCTTTTAAACTCATGGGCATTCTTCTACAAGCAGGAAAAAAAGTGGCCCATCATTACTCCTGTTTGTCACAGGGCTCCAAGAAATGCCCATTAGTGTGTGTCCAACCCCATTATATAAAACTGAGAGCAATGAAGTCACTGACAGTGCTTTTATTTGTCTGTATTGGGTCCTGAATTGATGGCAGAGAAAAAAATCCTGCATGAATAAAAGAATAAATTCCTCTTCACGTTAACATAAAATACTTCTAGAATGATGAAAAGATTTGGGTTCACTCCAGTGTGGTTTTCCCCGTGTGGTTGGTTTTTGCATTTCTTTCAACTTGCTCTTTGTAATCCATTTCCAGTTGGGCTTTTTTATTTCCCAAGTCTGACATATAGCGTGATGTTACAAATTCTGGCCTGTGGTAGCTTGAGGAATATTTATTTGTCTAGGTAAAATATCTTTCCTTCCAAGTCTATTTTAAATGCCACAGGAATGTTTTCTTACTCTTTTTGTTTGTCGTTGTTGGTTATTAGAAACCTCTGCTCAAGGTCACCAGTGACACAACCATCCTTTGCAGGAGGCATTTCCAGGGATTTTGCATGGATGGCTTCAGGAAATCAGGAGGGGATGATAGAGAGGAGAGGAAGATCGAGGGATAAGAACTTTTTCTAGAGTATTTGAAAGCTTTCTTTTTCTTTGCAATATGCAGTAGAAGAAGTAACCATGAGGCAGGAGTTGAAAGCTGAAGCTGTGAAACACAAGCTTGGCCCAGCCTGATGTCAGGGGACAACCTCTGGTGAGCTTTGTTTCTTTCTCTGTCCTCACAGTTGGGAATGTGCCATGATTTAAAACTGCTGTAGCATTAACTGCCCCATTACACACAGCAGAAAGCTGAGGTACTGGCCTCATCTGCTAGAACAAGTGTTTTAATGCTGTCCAAAGTTCAAATCAATCAAAAGGTCAAGCTTGTTTAAGGCAGTGAGCGATAAGGGGGGGGGGATGTCTCAGGAAGCTCATTCCTAGTTGTTGGAATTAAGCCAGCCTCGTTGCAGGAAAATCTCCAAGTAGCAAGAACCCTGGAGAACAGTGACAGCTGGGAAACTGTGGGCTAAGCCTCCCCTTGCTGGAGCCAGAGAATTCCCATCAAATGCAACAGAAGAAGAAGAATAGACCCTGGTGAATAGGGAGGGATGGGAGGGAAGAGGGAGCTCACACCTTGCTCGGTTGAGACTGGACCTTTTTCCCACACCATCAAAGGCAGAGTTTTGCCCTCTCAGTGGCAAGGATAACATGGAAAACTTTCTGTGGAAAACTCTCCTTCTGGTTTTGTGAGGGGCTGCTCAGCACTTTGGAAGACTCCTTCCATAGTTTGTAATGGCTGCTTTTTCAAGGGTCTAATGGCTTTATTTAAAACAAACCAAAATAAATCAAAAAAAAAAGACAAGAGGGGCTGAGGACTTCTTAGAGTATGTTCCTGCCATTTGAGTTGTATGATGGGGGGCATTAGTGGGGAGCCCATTAGCCTCCGTGGCACATGGCCATGCTTTCATAAGCTTGCAAGACAGGATTTTTTCTATATACTTTTTTGTGTGTGCATGTCAAAGAAAGCATTCTCCAAGGGCCAACTACAGAAAAAAATCCCTGGTCTTTTTGGCAGAATTCCCTGGTACTTACACAGCCAGGATTTTCTGTGCTCCAGCTCTGGTGTGTGACCCATGCTCTCAACACATCCAGGACCAAATGAGGATCTTTTGACTCAGGGCTGAATCTGACCATTTTTCTTCTATGGAAAAGATGTAAATAATTCTAGGGATGGGTGAAGAAAGGTGATATTTGGGATAAGGAAAAGTGATTCAGGCTGCTGGCCTGGCCCTAAGAGGAAGGATGGGTTGAGGACCAAGCCACAGACCTACTGTATCACAGGACCACCATTGCTTGTAGATCTGATGGGAAGCAGCAGAAAGACCCCCAGACCTGGAGGGAGGCTACACAGAAGCTTGGGGGCTGTGCTGGTGGATGAACAGCCACTCATTTGTGTTACCACATTGCTCATAACCAGCTGAAATTAAATGGTAACTGAAAGCACCGTAGTTCCCCCTGTGCTCTGTTCTGCAGGAGCACTAACACAGTGCAGGCAGAGAGGGTGTTTTGGATATCCTGGGCCTGTTGCTGTTGGTCTTCTCAGCAGCGAGCAATACAGCGGCTACAGGCTTACCAATCCAGTGGCCACTGCACACCCCAAAAGAATTGCCATGGAATTAAGAAATAGAGAGTGTCCCTTGGGAAGGCAGGAGGCATCATAAGCCTGGGATGCAGCTGAAGAACTGGCAAAAGTTCCCTCAGTCCAGCTCCAGACTGCTGAGCCCATGAGGGCACCTGCCTATCTGGTCCCTCCAGCCACCAAGTCAGGTCTGTGCTGCTTTCACTCACCTGCAACTTCATCACTGGCAGAACCAGCAACATTGCAACAGAGAATGTGGATTTTTCTGAGCTCTGATTCGTGACACCAGATGTTCCTGTGCTTTTTTTCAAGCTCATTTGAATGTATGCAATGGACATCTAGCTTTGAAAAATCAACGTTTGCCAGATGTCTTTTAAATTGTCTACCTTGCAAAATCGTCAGTTACCAGATGTCTTTTAAATTGTAAACCTCTGTAGTCAGAGGTTAAAACTGTGTCAAAACAGGCACTGATAAGAATTCATATTACATTTAAAATGTACTATGATTTCCTCCAGCTCTTTCCCCTGAGAAGTTCTTGCATGGAAATTTTATGGCTCATGAAAGATTTGCCACCCACCCATCGCTATAGATTCAGTGATAAATGCTTTTAATAATTAACAGTGGCAGGGGGCCTCTGTCTCATGGATATCTCACCTCTCAGACAGCAGAAATAAGGCCTGTTGAACAGGAAGAGTCATGAGGGCTGCACAGTGGTGGAAGGTTCCTGCAGCTGTACAGTTTGGGTCCCAGTGCAGATCTTCTACAACTGGAGTTATTTGTGAGCAGGATTTTGTCCTGTGCCAAGTTTGGAGCTCAAGGCAGCCAGAGGAGCAGGGATGCTTGAAGAGTTCCTAAGGTAAAAGAGGTCTGGGGGCAGTTTGGGGCTGGAAAGAGGCTGTGCCAGTCACAAGGACAAACAGGTTAGGCTGTGAGTTTCCTTCTTAATCCGACTCTCCAGGGTCTCATCCAGCCTCTGTGCTGGCTGCCAAAAGCTCATACTGAGTGGCTATTTTGGGATACAGCAACATCAAGTGTTACTTCAGAGATGTTTGGAGAGAGATTTAATAAAATCAACTAATAAGGTTTGACGCGCTGAAGATTAGAAAGAGCCATTCCGAGCATCTGTGCTGACCTCGGGGGTGGGAGGCTTCAGGGGAGTCATGTGTGTCCTGGGCATGGATGCCCTCCTGGGATGGCTGGTGGGACAGGACTGCAAACTACCTTGGGCTGTCAGCTTCTGCTTTTGTTTTGATGGTTTAGGTTGGGGGTATTTTTTGCCTTTTTTGTCATAGAGCCAGCCCAGAATAGAATCATGAGATTGGTGTTTATTACTTTCCAAATAATCTATACTCTGGTTTTAGTGCTGACACCGTATGAAGGGCTGTGTCACTGCTGCACTCATGTTTCCATGTGACACCACAGATTACTGTTTTTTCCCATTTCATAACTAATAAGTGAAGTGAGTTTGACAGCCTTGGTTTCAGCTTCAGCCTGTTGGTTCCCATGTCACAGATAGGCTCGGTTAGCAGCAAATTCTTGTCAGGAGAAGAGAGTTACAGCTCAAGCTTAAAATGTGCTAGCATCCAGTGCAAAGCTTTAAATTCTTGACCAAAGTTAGATAAGGCCAGCTGAAAGTGTGACGTTTGAAATACACTATCTATTTATCTTTTCCTTCTGACCAAAAATACCTAGAGTGCAAGTATGTGTCTTTGCATCCAAGCAGAGAACAGTTGAGCTCCTCTAGAGAAAAGTATAAACACAGAACTTTAAATATTCTGTTTGTTAAAATCTGTGCAACTGTCCCTCTCCCTACATGTGTATATATTATCAATATTAAAAAAAAATGGTATGTATATACACATCATTAAAGAAAAAAGAATGATTAGTTTTCAAGGTATAGGAAGCTTTTTTAAGTGGTAGTAAGAAAAAATTGTTAGCTCTCCCCCAGCAGTCATTAATAGCTCCGAGCCCCAGCCTGAGTACAGATGGAGCTTTGATATGATCATGGTTTTGCAGTGAGTATGTGCTGTATATCGTGCTGCTAATCCCGTGGTGGAAATCACCTCCTCCTAACACCTGGTGCTAGGACCTGACACAACTGATTTCAGCTACAGCTTATGCAGCCTCATGGGCTGGATTTGGGCAGCTCAGAAAGCACTGGGCACTCTGTGCCTGGTGCTGTGTGCTGATGTCCTCCCATAAAACCTCCCCTCTGGAGCTGCTGTCCCAGGCTGCCCTCCTGGGCCACTTTCAGCCCAAATATTCATTCAAGCCCCTTTTCTCTGTGCTGGATGGGGACTGCTCCTCCCCTCCCAGCAAAAGGGTTTGTGTTTAGACAGTGTTTTCAGTTACAGTTTCCAGCAGGATGAGCTGTCCCACCTCCCAGCTTGGGTGAGGGAGGAACAGTGTGTGAAATACAGCAGCTTCTGAGGTCAGATGAGGAGCAAGTGCCTGTGGAGTAGGGAGCCCTGGGCCCTTTGGCTACAGCTCTGGGCATCTTCAGGGAATGCTGTTTCCAGAGCCTCCCTGGCTGCCTGGGGCTGGGTAGGGAGCATGAGTGCCATAAAAACTGGAGCCAGATGTAGAGTCCGGATGGTTTTGGCCTCTTTGCTAATTTTCAACACTCAGATCTTGTTATGTAAGAGTTTTCTAGAAGCTGAATGGAAGACTGGAGGGAGTTTTAGAGGGGCTTTTTTGGTAATAGTTTGCTAAATTCATGGTTGAGATCTGAAGGGACCCTTAGCCTGACCTCTGGTATATAACAGAGAGTATTGAATTTCCTGCACTTAACTCCCACAGTCTATCCAAGAACTGCCTAATCACAGTGCTTTCCTAGGAGAGCAAACACTCTTAAACACACTCATTTCAGCATGGTAGAAATGCTTGTTATTCCTGATAGTTAGAATGAACAGGGATTTTCAAGAAGGCTCTTGGATGATCTCCTGACCAAGGCTTTCCCTGCCTTCCCCTTGATCCCATCCCTCTCCCCACACTGCACCCCTGTGCTGCTTATCTCCTGTCCTAGTTGTGCTGAAGGTTATAGAGACATTAAATAAGCTTGAGGGGCAGAGGAAGAAGAGGTATCCATTTTGGGAATTAGGAAGGGGCAGACGTAACCCAGCTCAGCAGCAATGGGGTTAGTCTGACCATGCCCCACATTTGGGTGGGAATTTCTGAACTCAAACCAGGTATTTATTATTCCACATAGATGTTTGCAATGACATATAAGCCATCACTGCTGTTCCTTTGCCTTGCAATAGCACCATGACACAAACCCTGCTGGACCAGGCACTGCACCAGTGCAGAGCAAAAAGCTGTCCCTACCCCAAAGAGGACTCAGACTCACAAGGTAATTACTTATCTTTGTCCATTAATTTTCCTTTTTTTTTTTCTTAAGTACCCAGATAATATTTTTTTCTCTCCCAGACTCAAAGTACAGTGACAAATAAATGATTTCAAGTATCCTCCTGAGATAGGGAGAACTGAGATAGATGTTGCCAGCAGGCACTGATCCACCTGTGGTGATGGAAGGTTGAGGGATTCATGAGGGAATGACAGATCTGGAAAGCTGCAGCATGGCTTTTTTTAAAATGACACAACCAAAGATATTCTAGAGATTATCCTCCAAAAACTCGGTGATCAAGGGCTTAATGACTTAAATAGCGGTCAAATGTCTGCTTGTTATCAATCACCTATTGCCAGTTGAACTGCATTAATGAGGGTTTCTTGATAAAAGCTGCCTTATCATCCGGAACTGAGATACCCAGCATAATGTGCTCCAGCAAGGCTTGAGGAAATGCTCCTCTTAGCAGCAAAGCAGACGATGTGTCGCTTTCCTGAATTAGTCTGAGTCAAATGGATGGTCAGACCCTCCAGAAAGAAGCAATTTCTTTCACCTCTTGTATTAAAGGAGTGCTTTATCCATGTGTCAGAAAGCATTCTGGCTGTCTTGCAAGAGTTTAGAGTCCAACCAAACACACCTTGCTGGCCATTTGCAGTGGTCAGGGTTGAAGGTCACAGGGCAGGGTCACTGCACCCTGAGGGGATGGCACAGGGTTTCACTGTGCATTGTACATCCCCCCGCCATAACCACTTACCTCCTTGGAGAAAATGGGTTGGAAATGGTATTTAACATTGTTGATGACAATTTTTCCAGATTTATTACCTGTTTTTTGTTCACTGTTTGGCTGCCTGCTCCCTTTCCATCTGCCAGCCCTGTAATCCACCTCCTCTTATCTCAGCACAGTTCGCTCCACCTCTTGCTCATTTTTGTTTTATTGCCCAGCTAATCTCATTCTCCTGCTTTTCCTGACACTGCTCCCCCCTCCCCATCTGTGGAGATTAAATCACTTCTCCTTTTGTTTGATGCCGCTCAACATTCCCCCATTTCACTCAGGTTTTGGGATACTTCCAGGCACTTTTGCTGTTGTTGCACACATCCATTTTCCTGGCACAAAAAGGCCCATCAGCATCTGATGGAAGCGTTACTGAGTCCTCATTTCAACCAGTTCTCAGAGATGTCCTGAATGTGAAATGAAGCTGAGCTCAGCCTGCACAGTGTAGCAGAGGCAGGTGTGTGTGTCAGGAATTTCAGGAGCATCCACAGGGTGCTCAGGGCAGCTCTAGAGTGGTGACAGAGCCTGGCAACTGAATATTACTCAAGAAAACTGGAGATCAAAGGCATGGGGTAAAAAATCTCCAAGCTACCAAAATGTGAAGTTTTGGAAGTGGTTTTCAATATTGTTGGTAATGTATCAGTGTAGTCAGCCATCATCCCTATTTACATCTAGTGGCTTGTCAGTGTTCATGGCCCCAACAGTGTCATTCCAGTTACTGCTGAGAGTTGCTGGGGGTTTTAGGCTCAAGGTTGAAGCCAGTCTCCCTGTTCAAGGGTGTTAAGTGCATCCTGGTTTGGGCACAACTGCAGCTTTGGGGGGGACACGGTGGATTTTCATGCCATGTGTTTCTGGCACCCTTCCACCTTCCTGCACAGAGAACAGTGCTGGACACTCCTCTACCAGTATTTCCTCCACCTGTGTGACTGTGCAAGTCCACTGACTGCACTGCTGCTTGTGTTGGCTCAGAACTGGAACCAGCAGAGCCTTTAACCCCCTGGCAAACCCTGGACAATTTCAAAATGCCTTGCAGGGACCACATGCACTGACAGGACTCCTCACAGCTGTCAATCGCTGTTCCTCCTCACTGTGAGCACCCCAGTGTGTTTGCTGCCAGAACAAACCCTAAAGTCTTCAAATAACCCCCCTTTCAGTACATGGGAGATGCTTCCCTTAGCAAGGACAGTTGCTGTTTGGCCCTAATCATTGAGTTTAAGATTTTTTTTTTATTCTGTTTGGGTTGTATCTCTTGCCTTAATCTCCTCTTGCAATGCTAACCATGATGCATTTGCTATATGTCCCCTCACTACTTTTATCTACCAACATGTTTTAAATAGGTTTAAAGAGTACAGGAGCTAAAAAAAAAAAAAAATCAGGCAGCTTCAGATGAAAGCCAGCAGCAGGCCTTTAAAAATAGAGTGGCAGCCCTGCACGAGGTGCCGAGTAAGTGGGTGCACGGGAGGGGAGTGGAGCGGCTGCAGAGGCTCTGTTTAAACAGGAGGTAAATAAGTGGCTGGGGGAGCTGCAGTTCATCTTGTTCCCTTACGTGTTGCCCAGATAATGCAACATATCTTCAGGCAGGCTGGTTCTAAAAATGGACACAGCTCTTGGGTTTCACTGGGTGACGCTCGGGCTGCGCTGTCCTACAGTCCGTGGGAGCAGTGAAATGGCATTTAGTGTTTCAAAAGCAGCAGCAGTGCTCAGGTCTTGTCACTGGTACTTTATGAAGACTTCTATAATGAAGAATGTGTGACTTTATACCATGGTGCCTAATGCAGAAGCAGCTGCCTGTAAATCCCTGGGGTCAGGCAATGTTTTGTTAAAATTCCCCTTCCTGCTGTGGTTGACCTGTGAAAACAGCAATCATCTGACAGTGACAGCAGCACTTACTTAGTAATTCAGGATTAAAGTGTTCTGTCCAATGAGTAATTTCACAGAAGCAGAGTTTAGAATTGGAGCTGGTTTAATATAACAAAACTATTGTCATGAAAGCCTCCTTGGCATTTTAATGGTGTTTTTCTTTGGTCTAAATATACATGAGAAGTTGAGAGGATGTTTAAATCTGAGCAGGGGATAAAAGGGACCAAGAGAAAGACTTAAAGGTCTTGTCCAAACTCCGCACAATTGTGTGAGCCACTGGCTTCCCTAGGACAGGGCATCATCCCAGGGAGCTGCACAATTCACCATTCCTCTCACTGCTCCAGGGGTGTTAGTGTCATTATCTTCCTTCTCACCCTCCTCTCTCCTGCCTAGTTGAGCACAGCTCAGCTGTGCAGAGGATGAATATTTGTTAACCTCCAGTGGCTGCAGTAATGGTCAACTGGCCCTTCTGTGCTCCCAAAGAGACTGTGTTTGGGTTGGGCACATGCTGCTCACTGGCATGGAGAATTCTCCATTTCTTTCCAAATGAGTCTTCTCAGGCTGTCCCTGTTCAGCAAATTCAGGAGAGAAAGGGCAGCAGGGCCCCTTGACCAAACCATGGCAAGCATGTTCTGTAGAAGGCAGCAGAGAGTGCAGCCTTCCCTGTGGGAATGAAGTGGTCCTCTGTTGAGTGAAGTGTTGCCTACAAGGTTAATTAGCTGTAGAAAATGAGCTCGAATACTTAGGAGTAATGAATCATAATGAATCGTTATGTTTGAGGAGTGACAAATTAAATTCATGCATATTTTGGACTACTTGTTTTAGTCAGAATGGAAAATAGTGCTATGCTTTTTTCTGTTGTTCTGCCTTCATGTTGAGATGTCAGGAAGCAAATCGATATGGCCAGAGTTTGTAAAGTCTGGCAGTGCTTGATTGCACAATGTTTAATCTCTCTCCTGAGTCTCTGAGCTGGGCTAGGAGCAGGGGCTTCTCTGGAATCAATACATTTGCCTCCACCTTCAGTAGATGGTATTTTGACCTGAAAAAACACAAAACTTCTCCTAAGCTAAAAGAGAAAAAAAAAAAGTTGTGTTGTCCTAATCCTGTGAGTGGTAGTGTCTTATGGCAGCTCTGATTGAGGTGTAGCACCCTCATCTAGGAAAGCAGATTGAATTACAGCCCCACCTCCCAGACCAAGGTGAGTCAAGGGACCTATTTGTAGCAAGATTCATCAGATCCTTCGGCTCCTGCTGTTCCCAGAAGAATCTCTGGAGTTTTTCTGTGGAATTAGATCCAGCAACATAACAAGCTAAGGGGCAGACAGGCATTGTAACCCTTGAAATACCTGGAAAGTAAGGATAAGCAAGCTACTCCTACCTGGAAGATAACTTCTGGAATCTCAATGTAAGATGAAGGACACTGTGAAAAAGAGGATCTTGATAAGAAGAATTTGTTCTTAGCCCCCTTCAAGAATCGTAACATATCCCTGGGTGAGCTGAAGCCTGACACAAGCTGCTGTCCTTTGGGGTTTTTTTTGATTTGGTCCCAAGGTTCAGCTGGTTCAAGGCTGGAGGAGCTGTGAGCAGGGGGAGGATTTGAATTCACAGCCTCTCTTTTAAATAGATCGGTGGTTCCAGGAGGGCAAGTGATACTGCTGCAGTGATTAAGTTCTTTGCTGGATTGATGCCTCTGGAAGTGTTTGGAGAGATTTGACAGATCTTCCAGTCTGTTGAAGGTTCCCATGGTGTTGGCCCAGCCATGACTGTGTGAGGCAAACTGTTTGTGCCACCCCTGGGAGAAAGCATCTTTCTCACTCAGAACAAAGAGCTCTTGGGCGTTCAAAGACAAAAGGTACCAACTGACATTTAGTTCTGCTACTAATTATATGTCAAAACTAATACAAGTTAAGACTAAATTAGTACACTTCTCCAGATGTTTTCACAGTTGCCCTGCCTGCAGCACTGTGGGTTATGTTCTGAGCTGTTAGCTACTCAAACTAGTCCTTCTCATCTCCACTGATGTCGTTGCTCCTGGCATGATCAGGTGCAAACTCCCACTTATTAAGTGCTATGAAGGAATCATTCTGACACAAAGTGGAAAATCCTCCTTGGGGTTCAGAGCTCTTGCAAGAGGCAGCCAGTGAGGTGGCTGCTTATAGAGCTGACCCCATGCTTCAAGTTGTGGATTCATGTACAATATCTGTGAAAGCAGCTATCCTTGCTCTTGCCAAACTCCTCAGAAGACCCATAAAATGATGTTAGTTGTAAGCCACAAGCTGGCTCTTATCTTTGAATTGTTTTTCTCTGACAACTTTAAGAAGAGCTCAGCATGTTCTCAGTAGGAGCTGATGGATGCTGAGCACTTCTGAAATCCTGCCAACTTCATTTAGGTTCCTAAATGGGAACTGAGTGCTTTTGAACATATGATCCTAAGGGTGCATTTCATAACACTATAGCTCTGTCCATATCATTTCTTTCCTCTCTCACTGTCCCCAGAATGCTCCCAGCAGCAGCAATAACACCAGGAGCACTGGGCTAGTCAAGGCCTGAGTGATGCCTCAGTTATGATGTCAGCTCAAGGCACACTGAACTGAATTAAATGACAGCAGTTAAAAGGTGCCTGTCTGCATCCAGTCTGCAGTAAGGTCACCATCATCACTACCAGCATTATGGGTATATTTGAGATAGCTGTGGTAGATTTTATATGTATGTATATATATGAAAATAAAAATGTAGTGCAAATTCTGCCTTGTTTTTCAGAGTATTTCATCCCATGTTTCAGGCCATGTGCACTCTACTCGACAATGCTCTGACTCTCAATTTCAGGATTCAAATTTTCTCCTAGGTAGGTTTGTGGGGCAGATATAATGAATATTTTTTAGTGTTTGTGGAGCAGGGTAGGAGGGCAGATGAGCCTTTATCTGAAGCTTTTCCAACAGACTTAGTGCATGGACAGCATCTGTTTTGGTCTTGTGAGGCTGACATCCTCTCCCAGCAGACTTGGCAGTGAGCAGAAGAGCCACATGTCAAAAAATCTGGGGGGCCCATGCGCTGTGGACAAAAGTATGGCAAAGAATTTAAACATCGGTGAGTGGAGTGATGCTGGAGGGCTGGCTGAAAGCGATTAGCACAGTGCTCTGGAATGTGGCATTTCAATAGCCGCTCCAGAAGGATCTGCAGCCCCATTGACTTCTGCAGCGTCAGGAAAGAGCCCTCACACTCCAGCTTTTGCCAGTGTGAATGGGAACGTGCAGGGCTGTGTGTGCAGCAATCACAGAGCTCTCTGCTCTGGCTCTGCACACCCTGCCCTGTGTCCTGCTGATGGGGGGGTTTCCTTTGCTCCACGGGAATCCCATACCCCAGTGACTCAGGTGGCTCTGGGTCCTCGTGCGTTGCCAGAACCCCCCCTTTCAAATCTGCATCAATATCAGCTGTAGCTTTGCTGTTTGCCTACCCTGGGCCAAAGCACCAAAGGCCACCTGTGGCCATGATCCAGCTGTTGTCAGCTGTGCAGTCGGGTGGTGGGTGGTGTGGGGTTTGGGTGTTTTGTTGCCACGTGTGTCAGTGTGGGGCTTGGGTGTTTTGTTTCCACTGCTGCTGGGTTTTGGCCTCTTTGGGAATGCACCAAGTGGGACTAAGAATGTGTCTTTGTTCACATTCACTTGTTTAATTTTTTTTTTTACATTTTCCTTCCCCCCCCCCCCCCCCACTTCTGACTTCTAGGTAGATAATCAAAGTGTGAAATAAATTAAAAATAAAGCTGGGTAGAAGGCCTGACTGATGAGAGCACATAGATTTTTAGTTGAGGTGAGAGAAGAACATGCTCATTCAAGCCCTCATGGAGGGCAGGGAATTCCCTGGCTTTTGTCTAAATATGGCATGAGAGAGTGGAGCACAGGCAGTGCAATGCTTCACTGAGTATTGTTTAAAAGGGAGCTTGGCAGTGGCCAGCAAGTAGGATTCTTGTGAAAACATGGCACAAGGAGTTGTTTGACAGATTCTGACATAGCAAAGTCTTTACAAGGGGAAAAAAAAAAAACAAAGAAGGAAAAGAGAGAAACTGCAGACTACATGAAGCCAAAAGCATAGTCTCTGCCTAGAAGATTGCAGAATAAAAGGCACTTAGCACTGAGTCACACCCTGCAAGCTCTGTGGGTCTGATCCTCTCAGTGATCGATTGCACTGAGTTAAAACCCCCTCCTAAATGATTGCCTGTTGTCAGTCATCCAGAAGAGGGGATGAAGAGGAGTGAGAGCTGGGGAGGAGACTGCCATGGCTTGCACCCACTCACCAGAGTCTCTATCTCAGACTTGCCTGGTTGGATGGACCCATTCTCTACCATCTCATGTTTCCCCCTGCGGGTAAATGACGTTTCACTAGCAGGTTTTTGGATGCAGCACTCAGTCCCAAGCAATCCCGTGGTTTGTGTAGGTGTTTCCCTTTTGCAAAGCTTATGCTGATTTGTGGCTTTGAATATCTATTGCAGCAGTGAGCAATGATTCCTGCCTGGAAGAAAACCCCTCTCCCACTGCCTCTGCCATGTCTGGAGACACTGTGAGTCCCTCAGAGCAAAAAGGCCTTTACTCATCTCAGCAATGGAGAGTTTTGCCTCCAAAATTCCAAGTCTGCTCTTGAAATATGGCCATTATGTGAGTATGTTTGAGGGAGGGAAAACTTATCTGGGATTCAGTGCACTTCTGGAGGTCTTGGATGGAGACACCTCACTCGGTGACTCTGCTACTGACACCAGCTACTGAACAGACTGTGTAGCTCATACAGAGGAGGTCTTGGCTCAGGCTTCCCCATTTAAAGTGGAGCCCTTACCTAAATTCACCTTGAATGCAACATTCATGCTCAATCACAGCTGGAGCTTCCTCACATCGAAGATAAGACAGTCTTCCTCTGGTTGGTGGTTTGGATGGTGTCCTGCAATGTAAACTAGAATGATAGGAGTAGTCTGTAATTAGCACATAACCTCAGGCAGTTTTGTTCCTGAAATGCAAGGCCTAAGTTGTTCTGCTGCGATAGTGTTGGTTTAGTGAGTCCATTAACTGCTCTGCATCATATCAGTGAAAGCTGTTCCCTAAGAGCTGCAAAGGTATGGAATAGGAACCAGAAGTCTCTGATCCAGTCCTGCAGGCATATTCCAGTGAAACCAAAGGGAAGTCCATCATATGTGTTGCCCATCAGATGCACTCCATGGCAAAGCAACGAAGCCCAAGAGTTTCTGGATCATCTTAGCAAAGCTCAGGGGAGAGCAAAGGCGCGGGAGCACTCCCCTACCCTTTTTGAACCTTTCAGTTGATGTTGTTAATTGTAGTGGAGCTGCTGCAAATATTTTGGAAAGCAAATATTTGATGTCCTCATCCAGCGGAAAATAAGTCGAAGGACCAACCTGCTGCCACTCACTTGGTCATTGCAACAAAACCGGGGCTGAGAATCAATAGCAACAACGCTGAGCTTTTGTGGTCACCTCCTCTCCAAACAAGGGCTGTGATGTGAGAGCAAACAACACCTGCTTGGAGGAACTGGGCACGGGCTGAAAGGGAGCTGGTGGGCAGAGGCTGTTTGTGCAGCACTGGGCTCTGGGGTGGGGCTGCTGGCAGAGGCAGGAGGAAGATGATATCTCCATCAGCCCGTGCTAATGCGAGAGGCAGAAATGGGTGAGCTCCTGCCTTCCCTGTGCCCCGACTGGTGAGTGATGGACAGTGACTCCTCCGTGCCTACCAGGAGGAAAGCCCTGGAGTGGGACTGCCCTCCAGGCAGTCCTGCTCTTGGCTGGGGTCTGGGTCACATCAGAGGACAAATCGAAGGCTTGTCACAAGCAGAAAATTGGGCAGCTCCTTGTGTGGCGGAGGCAGCAGATCAGTCACCACTCACATCTCTGCCCAAGTATGAATTCTCTAAGGAAGACCAATATCACTTTGCCCTAACTGGAAAGCAGGGGAGATGGCACATACTTCCCATGCTCTGGCTGGGCCCAAATACCCAATGTGCAAGTGATCTGCTTTTGGGTGCTGCTTTTTTTCTAAATCCTATTTTTTTTGTTGTTTTTAGCCTTCTAAAAACAAACTTCGGATTCATCAGTGATCTCATCACATTACAGATTCTCTTTCCTGGGAAACTGAACTTCTGGTATAATCATGGGAAAGTCTCACCTTCCCTTTTTTATTTTCTTTTAACTGAGTTTCTATTGAAATCAGCTTGGCAGACCAACACCTCAGAACGAAAGACACAAAAGAAAACCCTTTGTTACTACTATTTCTTTTTAATCTCTTGATTTTCTTACCAATCTAGTGATTTTGGAGATAGCAAGTGATATTTGGATATTTAAAGACACATATTCAAATCTGTAGAGTAGGCAGGCCCCTTAATAATACATTTTACCAATGGTCTGTTTATCCCATCGCTGGCAAAAAAATAGAGGCAAAACCCAATAATTAATTACTGCTCTGTCTTTTGTACTGTTCTTTGAACTGCAACATTTTTGTTCACTCCTACCCTTTTTCTAGCTCTTACAAATGCTCTGCACAACTGGAAGGTGGCTCAGCAAAGCCAGTGCAGTATCTCTGTAGCCAAGCAAGGACAGACTTGGCTCCTCTTCAAAGGGAGCTTTTATCGGGTGTTTAGCGTGATGTGACAAAGCAGGGAAGTGTGCCATGGATGCAATGCTTCCAAATCCCCACCTTCTACCTTGATTGAACTTGAGAACAATTATCCCTTGCCAGGGTGATGAGCCCTGCCGATGTGCATCTTGTTTACAGCCGTGCTCAGTTTTTAACATATTTTCCTGTTTTGGACTAGGACAGCACGATTCTGCTTTATGAACTGGACAAAATCCATTTAAAATATCAAGTTTCTCGTATTTTACCACAGGAACCAGAATGTGGTGTTTTGGGCTGGCAGCCCCAATGCCCCAGGATGACACTGCTCACGTGTGCAAAGTGACGCCTGGGCCCCAGCAGACCTGCAAGGTCTCACTGTCAGTGTGGGAAAGCTTTGGATGGGGCCAGTAGAAACTAAAAAGATTTATTCTGGGATTATTTTATTGTGCTTGGAACAAGAATTTACTGTCTGGTGTGACTGAGCTTTAGATGCTGCTGTAAATTCCAGATGAAAATTGCACAGCATTTGCCATTCTGTTTTGCCCTATTTTGTTTTGTGTTTCCTTTTCATTCCTAGATTCTGCTTTATTCTGAATTCTAATGAATTTAGATCATTGGATCAATGTCTTATTAAAAAAAAGCAAAAAACAAACAAAAGAAAAACCAACAAAAAACCCCACACATTTTGGCCAAAAATATTTGGCTAAACATTTTTATTTTATTAATTTCCCAATTGCCTATAGCAGCCACTTTAAAAATGTCTGCACCCAAACCTAGTTTTGCTTGAAAATATCCTCTTCCTTTTCTCTCTCTGTTTTTTTTTTTTTCTTCACAAGAACCAGGCCAGTTTTGAGAGAAACTTTAACATGAAAAATGCACATCAGCACCCTGAGAAATTTCCATGTTCGGCTTCGAATCTGTCAGGTTACATGGAGAAAAAAATATGTTGTAAATTTTCTTGTTCAGTCACTTTTTAGTTTGGTGGTTTTGCCTTGCCATTTAGGCAGAATATATTGAGAACAGGAGCTTTTCTCCCTGGTCATTCCTGCTCTGCCCTATTTTTACCCAGCTGATCCCAGCCCATCACTCTGTGCCCTGGCAACTTACTGGCTTCCTCCTCTTTTCTCTGGATTATCTTCCCTTTTTTTGTTGACTAAAAGGACAAGTCTATTTCAGTTGAAGGAAGAGCCAAGATTATGATGTGGCACTGAACTTTGCTGAGGATTCACTGTTTGTCTCTGAAATCATCCTTGGACAGAGGTGAGAAACCAGACCCATCTCCTAATTGGACGTGGCTCTGTGCTGTGATTCCAGGACTGGCATGGGGTCCTTCTCAGCACGTTCCAGGGTGCAGAGGCACCTCTGAGCAGTGAGGAGGGTTTTCCAGTGAGCCCATGCTGAGGCAGCATCAGTCCAGCTCTTTGCTGCTCTGCCCACCTCGTGTGTGCAGGAAAAACCTTGGCTCAGCCTGGGCCAGACCCACCTGTGAGTGCGTGGATGGGGACGTGCTGCGCCGCAGGCTGGGATGTGCTGCTGGGGAATAGCGTTGGCTCTTGGCCAGCCTGGAGCAGGGAGGTGGCAGGGAGCTGCCAGCCTGGAGCAGGGAGGTGGCAGGGAGTGCCTTTGATGCCTCGGCTCTGGCTGAGCAGTGGCTCAGGGAGGGGTGGCCCCACGGGCAGTCACAGCGAGGCTCTCCAACAAGCTGTTCCCATTCCTGCTCATCATGGAAGCAGCAGCCCACCTGTTCTCCGCTGTGCTGGAATATCAGCCAGCACCCTGGCTCTGTTGTTTTAGGCTGCAGTGGGTAATTTTTAATCCCTCTATTCAGAGTGTTTCTAGGAACAGGAGGAGAAACATACGGCATATGCTCACCTCACCTCCCAGGAGGTATGGGGGAGTGTGTCCCAGCAGCTGCTGGGGTAATCCTTGTCCTTCTGTCCCCAACCACATCTGAAAGGTGTGCCCAGCGTGTCTGGGCATCACCCCGCAAGCAGGTGGGCTCCACTGGCTGGGCAGGGCTGAGGGGGGCAAAGTCCCTTCCTCCCTTCTGCAGCCAACAGGGATATGGACAAGGGCATGTGCAGGGCACAGGGACTGGAGGAGTGACTCCATCCTCTCCTGGGTTTCCCTGAGGCAGACCACCTCCACAGTGGTGCAGGGGGCACCTCAAAGGCACAGGTTATCCCTCCACAGTCACACTGGGGCTTTTAGGGTATGGGTGCCATGAGTGAAAGTTGCTTGGATTAAGGACTCACATTTGGCCAAAGAGGGTCTCTGGTGAGATCTGGGCTGGACACAGCTGTGATCTTAAAGCACACAAGGTATCTGCAGGAGTAGAGAGGGGGGAGCAGGCTGAGTGCTCAGCTACTGGGACCTACCTCCTGGATCCTGCAGCTCCGCCTGTCTTCCCTTGTCTCCAAATCTCCAGCACATGAGGCTTTGATGCCCTGTCATTGCTCATTGTCCTGGCCCTCACCCTGACCCAACTGCAGCCGACGGGAACGGTGTCAGTGGGGCCGGTGGTATAACGAACATTTTGTCTTCTCCCTTCGCTTGTTCCCTCCTGTGTCCCCTCCTGCCCACCCTGCTCTCGCTCTCTCACTGCATCGCCTGCTCTGGGCACCATCTGGTGAATTTTGGGCTGTCTCATCTCACCAACTGTCGTTTGTCCTGGCTGTGGTGTAAATGCACTCACGTTTTGCTTCAAAGGACCCCTAAACCACTCTCTTTGTGGACCAGCCGGGCTGTCGGAGAAGAGCCAAGCCGTTGGCACTCAGCAAGCAACAAGCATTAATAAAAGCATTACAGTGAGGTTAGAGCCTCATTAAAGTAATGCTAACGAATCGGCTGCCTTCCAAAAGTATGAAATTTTTGCTAACACTTCCTCCTTCTAATTTTAAGTATATTTAAATCTTTCGAGGGAGGCAATATTCAGTCCTCCAGGCTACAGCATAAGCAAAGCCCATTTCAGAGGAGCTGCTCTGGAAGTGCACTGGTGCCCCTGGGAGTGTTCTCCAGCCCCATCCTGCAGCCTCAGTGCCATGACCACACAGTGGGGCTGCCCAGACATTTTTCCCCCTGTGCAGTGTCCTGGAGCTCACTCTACAGGAGCCCCAGTGCTCCAGAGTGCCTGCCAGCACCGGGGTATGTTGACTGAAGGCAGGGGCTGGACCCACTGCTGCCCCATGCTCCCAGCCTTGGCCACAGCCAGCACTTGGGCTAGAGCAGCCAAAGGAACCGCTAATTGACCCAGGCTGGCACGGTTCTGGCCCTGAGGTGCAGACAGTGCCCTTCATCACAGCTCTTCTCCACTGTTGTTGACTCGCAGAGACCCTGGGATGAAAGGCTTGGCAGCTCGTATCTGCTGCTGGCACCCTTTGCCAGGTGTGTCTGGAGGGGGGAGATCCCACAGTTTGTGCCCCGTGGTCCACAAGCAGCGTCTGAGCTTTGCTGGGTGGAAATTGCTGGGCTCATGGCTGGAACTGAAGTGCCGAAGGGGCTTCGCTCTGGGACCCCCTCCAGCCTCCTCGAGCACCCTCAGGGCTGGCTCCAGGTGGTTCTCCTGGCTCCCCACGCTCCCCCCGGGCTGTGCAGCTCTGTGCCCGCCGCGGCAGACACCCAACTGCCCGCCGAGCCCGCGGCTCCATTGTAAAGCAAATTAATTCGCCGCCGCGCCGAGGAATAGCCGTGCTCTCGGGGAGGCTTGGCAGCAGCAGTGAGGAAAGCAGCTGCTCCAGGACTCACAACCCCTTTTTATTTCATTTGCCTGGTTTTAGCAGCATGTGATGGGCACATGAGCAGCAGCTCTGCCGGACATCTCTCTGACTGGGGGGCTGAAGCTGCTGTCTGCCCCACTCGTGTGTGAGCACACGGCTTCTCCCTGCTGGTCCTCCTCCTCTCAGCCCAGACAGGTTTTTATTCTCCTACTCACTTTGAAGCAAATCCTGCAGTTTCATTGTCAAAGGACAGTGTTTGATGGATGAATCCCTCTCTTTTACCTTGCCTGATAGGGAGAGTACAGGGCAAACATGGTGTTTTAAACAATAAATACCACTCTCTTGTGTGGAAACAACCAGTCCAAATGGTTTCTGCTATGTTTAGCAGCCCATTTGAAGGGTCTGCCCGAGAGAGAGGGTGTCATCAGGATGATCTCAGTGTTACAGCACTGCCTTCTGTGCAACTTGTTGCAGAGACTCACTGAGAGCTCGATGAAGTTGCAGGTTTGTAGTAAGGGTGTTCCCCCACTGCCTCCCGAACCTTGTGGGTTAGGGGGGCTGCAGAGGCAATTGCTCAGCTCCTGGGTGTCCATGCCTGGGGCTGGTAGTGTCTGTGGGAGTTCATGTCTTGCTGCAAGATTTCCTCTTCATTTCAAGCATTACAACACAGATTTTCCTCTTGCAAAGGCCCCAGCTCTGCAGACAGGCACTGTCCTCACTGCAGGGAAATTAATAGGGTGTCTTGGAGCAAAGGTAAAACTAAAGTACATAAGTAAATGTTTGCAGGATCAGGACCTTATTCAGGCATAAATCAGGTAGCTCCAGCCAACAATAGAATTACCTCAGTATAAAATCCCATGTAAGCCAGTAAGATCAGCTCCAAACCTGCTGTGAATTTGCTTTTTGTTTCTATGCCAAGAATATATCACTTCTAAGTGCTGCAATCAGGGCTGATCTTTTCAATTTATTTTTTTTTAAGTGCTTTTGGGCACATTTATTTCCCGTCACCAGCAGATACGAGTGGAGCCTGACCCTCCTTCCCTCGGGCATGTCCCAGCCTGCTTTTGCCCACAATTAATTGTTGCTATCAGGGAATATTTTTTTTCTTTCCTTGCCTTTTTTTGTTACTGCATTCGGTAAACAAAGGGACAGCAGTGATGATCCAAAACCGTTCTTTTTATTTGCCTGGGAACAGAGTCAACTATTTGTGGGTCTTTTGTTGCTGATATTTTTTCTATTTTTAGCTGGTGACCGTTTAAACGGCTACTGGTACCTGTGGTGAGCCTGTACTGGTGCTGTGGGATTTGTCACCTAATGGCACTGAAAATCATGGATGGGGCACTGATGAGGACAAGGAGCTGCACATGGAACGTACCAGGTTAAACCAAAGGTCAAGGGCACAGTGGTCCCTTCTGTCCTTCCCAAAGAATATGAAAATAGCCTGCAGGGTTTTCCTAGTGGCTGCACTTGCCTCAGTTTTCCCAGTTCTCAGCTCTCTGTTTCGAGGTGATGCCCCAAGACAAGAAGCCTGGTGATGTTTGCACCCGGTTAAGCCAGGATGAGACCAGTTCTTGGAAATGAGCTTGTCAAAACACCTGGGAGAAGAAAGGCAAGGAGGGATGAGAGATAGAGAGAAGGAAGCTGTAGGCTCTTTTAGCTTGAGGGCAGACTTACACTGGCCTCTCCATCCCTGGGGCCCATGCAGCAGCAGAGCAGGCAGTGAAGGCAGCTTCTGGAATGGTCTCTTCCTAGCAGACACCAGTGCCAACCCCACCTGCCCCTCCAACTACAACCTACAGGGTGCTCTGAAAACCCAGGCAGAGCTTCTCTGCCCCATTGCACCAGGACACAGCAGGCCCTGGGACAGCACTGTGAGGAACAGGAATGCATTTTCCAAGGGACATTTAGGGTCTTCAGTTATTT